AGAGTTTAGAAACCTTTATGAAAGTGCCTCAGTTCAATCTTTCAAGCCTTAAGATGGTTTTAATATTTCTTTAGAGAGAGTGATTGCATAGTTTCTTAGTTTATTTTGGTGAAGTCTGATTACTATGTTCATAAATCTTACATTTCTTCGACAAGAACCAACTGTTATTAGCTACAGCTCAGTGTTATTACTTAGGCATTCGTTTCATTCACCTTAAATCCAGGTCTCCGACTAGCCACATAAACTGTTAGAAGTGACAAGTGAAATAGGTAGATCTCTGAGAGATTCGAACAATTCACGGGTGGTGGGAAATGTGATTACATGTGAAATTTACAGAATTTTCATCTATGAAACTGTTCGAATAGGCATATTTTCCAAATAGATGTGCATATGAAGCTATAAAGTATCTACACTGATTCCAGAATAACTACTTTCTATCGTATGTTCATCTCTACCCCCAGGATTTTTCATCCTAATTTCACTCTACCTTTCGTTTACAACAAACAATGTATTCATTTAGCATGTACCTGGTGCAAGCTGGAGAATTTGAAAATATGGGGAATTACAAACAGGCAGAACGTTTATATCTAACTGTCAGAGAAAGCGATAAGGCTATATCAATGTATAAACGTGCACGCCAATACAGAGAGATGTTGCGTTTAGTGAAACAATTCAACGCTGATTTATTGGATCAGACCTACATACATTTGGCTCAAGAACTTGAAAGTGAAGGCAATTTAAAGCAAGCAGAGCAGTATTATTTAGAGGTATGAACAATCGTATTGATTCTTTTGAACAACATTTTCACACATTTACTGATTATACAGATGGGAAGAAAAAGTGATCGCAAATTTTCAAGCTAGTTTTGACAATCAACTGACCTGTCTAATACTGATCTCATATCGGTCCACCGTCACACGAAATTTAATTTACACGTTTGCTTACTCATAAGTAGTCTGCTAAAATGTAAAGAATATATATATATATATATATATAACTCAGTAATTTTAGTCATTCCACCAGCAAGAATCCTTACCATTATAGCTTCATTCTTTATGTAACTTTAAGCTACTTGTTATTTAAAGTCTTTACACGCATATACTCAACAGTAACATACCTGAATGGATTTCTTGCAGTTTATGGACTTCATTCCATCTCACACTTTTTGTGAAATTTTATCCGACCGTCATAAAATTTATTAGTAAAGATTTGTTTACTATAGAATTTGACCTCATTAATTTTGGCAAAGAACAACTTTTAACTTTTCAATTTAGTCAGGAATGTATCTCAGATGATGACATCAAGTGAACCACTGTTTTTACTAACAGAATACCTCACAACAACTAAACTGCAATTCATATTAATGAGCAAACTACTCATCAACTCTTAACGTAAATAAGCCAAGGGCAGATTGACGGTATGCTTTGGGAATCAGATAAACACTAAATAAAATCAATGGATTGACATATGGATACAGTATTTTGCGCTTTTGAAAGCAGTCAAGAAAGTTTTGGGCTTGCATTTATCGTCTGTCGGTGATGAATGTTGAACGCTGTGGAATTCCACTTTTAATTGATGATTCTAATACCGTCTTCAGTCATTTTCATGACGAGCGAAGTCGTTGATGAACTATTCTCGTCACAGTTCACCTGTGATTATGTAGTATTGCGTTTCACCTAACTGTTATTAGGAGTCACGGATTGTAACACTTTGTATAGAAGTACACACATAGGTTCATATTGTGTACCTAAGCATGGATGAATACAAAACCGTGATACCGTATACCGTGATGCACTTTTTCAGACTGCTACCTGGTGTATAAGGTATGCACAGCACATAAAACTGTGCAAGTTTGGGATTTTTTCATAGTGCAACTGAGAGTGTCATGATTCCCGTGAATTCCAAACCGAACTGTTAGAGAAGTAATTAATTCTAGGGAAACACAAAAGACGATTACAACTAAGAAAAAAAATATCTTTTTCGACGAAATCATTCTCTTGGCCGTACATTCATGAATTTATGGTAAAAATGAGAATATTCCAGAGTAATTTCCGATCAAAGGTGAACATAAATCATGTCATGAAGAAAGTTACGTTATGGGGTAATAAAAAAATTCTTAGAATCATATTCTTCTTTTAGAAACTCATTCATCAATAGGCTGAGGATAAGCTGAAGGATTGTGCCACATCAGTGAGTGTATATCACTCTACTTGCTCCTGTAGAGTCGAGTACATCGGAGGTACCATGCACCAGCTTACACGATGAGCTGGCAAACACTGTCCAACTTGGCTGGTAAGGGGAAAACAAAAATTCATCCTCAGTTCCGCAACAGAACACTTAGTAAACTCAGGACATTTAGCTCCTTTTGAAAAGATCTTCTAAATTCTGTACAAAGTGCGACCAACGCACTCGAAAGGAAGGAAACTAAGACACATGGGCATAGCTGATGCATTAGTAATTCAAAAGTTCAAACCATGATTATGGGTTCAAAAGAAATATGTACAACCTCTTTCTTTGCCATTGAAATCGTAGATTACTGATCGCTTCAGACAACACACGTATGATGTAACTATTCTAATTTTTTTACTTCCTCCATTACGCAACTTTCATTTGTGACGCGATTTATACTTACCCCTGACCAGAAATTACTCTGAAATATCTTCTCCTTTTTACTGCGTATTCATAAGTGTACATCTAAGAAAATGATTACGTCAAAAAGAAAAAAACTTAATTCTCTGCAATCGTTTTCTGTTTTTCTTATTATCAAACGGGATAGTTTCGGTATTTGAAATAATTAATTATGTTCCCACAGGAAATATTCTGACCATATGTGGTGATGCATTCCTATTTCACATTCGATACATTCGGTTGAGATGTGTCATTCAGTAACTATTCAGCAATACACATGCTGTTTCCAATGGACCTGGATCAGTCTGATGCCTTTGACCATTCAGAAGATAAAAACTGAATTCCCTACAACCGTCCAACAGCTAACACGGTTTACAACAATATAGTTTTGACAATATATTTAGCTATATGAAGTGAAGGTTCCATTAACTAACGTATCACAGTAAGATGGTTAAAATGCGCCGAAATGTTGTCTTTATTTAATCATGGTTTAAAGGGGGCCGTATCGTTTTGCTGAGAATTTCTCTCGAGTTTGCCAACTTTAATGAGTTCATTTCTATGCATATTCTATTTGAATTTCTCTTTTTTTCTTTGTCTTTTCTCCGTACTTATCTTCCAAAATGGTTTTCTGAACAAATAAGTAGCTATTTTTAAACTTAATATTTACTCCCCTCCTGTGATTTCTGTTCAGGCTAAAGATTGGAAGTCAGCTGTAAATATGTATCGTTCACGTGATAGATGGGAGGATGCCTATCGTGTTGCCTCGAATCGTACGGAACAACCGGAAATCCGTAAACAAGTGGCTTATCTATGGGCAAAACACCTAGGTGGTGAACCAGCTGTTCGCCTACTGACTCGTTTAGGCCTACTGGAGAATGCTATAGACTACGCATCAGAGCATTGTGCCTTTGGTTTCGCCTTTGAATTAGCCCAGTCTGCATGTACTGAACATCTAGCTGAAGTACATAATAAATATGCCATGTTTTTGGAGGATGAAGGAAAGTTTGCTGAAGCTGAAGGAGAATTCATCAAGGTTAGTTTTTTTTTGAATAAATATAATATTGATATTTGTTTTTACACTAATGCACTTGTTTATTCATCCTATTGCTAGTTGGATGACGCATTCTTTATTCATTGTCGATTTTTGAGTTTTTCAGTCGAAGTATTGATATAAACGACAGCTTATAATATCTGGCCAATAGTTGTATCTTATTCGAAAACAGCCAATCAGGAGACGGGGCGTTTATAGAGAACAAGGTAAAATGTTCATCGCAGGGTAAAAAGAATTCGAGTGAGCGGACGGTGGACAGTCATTAGGTAGGCAAACTATGATGACTTAAATTTTCACATGAATAAAACAATTGAGCAGCTCGTATACAGCATGTGTCTTCGTTGTTTTGAAAGTGATAAGCATGAGGTTATCACACGTGGGTTTTGCATTACAAACAGTCATCAGTAAGATGTATCTGAATACTATACCACCTAAAGTTGTTTTCAGTTTTTGAATAAAACTTAATATTTATTACAATCAGATGATTCACAGAACAACTACCACCTAGTTGAGTGCAAATTTGCATGTTATCGCTTTTAGTTTTAAGCTAAACATGCTAATTATCTTGGTGTTGAACATGCCAACTATCATGGTCGAAGACACTGGATACCACTGTTAATTTGCATAACTTTAGGCATGATACAAAAATATGCACATCGCTAGTGACCTTCGCTCTATATAACTCGAGCCGGCAGCTGCAGTTTAGTAGTCAGCACGCATATGTAGGTCTTCACTGTATAGCATGAGGTAGAATTACGTAGCTTGATGGCTAGGCAACTCGTTTGGAGGTCATTCTTCTCTGGCCTTGTGTTTTTTACAAATTAACATTCCTAACAAGCCCTCATGATTTGGCAGGCATTTAACTTAAGTGTTTTATGTGTGTCAGCTGAGTTCCAGTTAGCGTCACGTAAAAAAACTAAATGATTTAGTGCAAAAACATCTTGCAAAGCTTTACCTAAAACAAGCGTTGATTTTTGTCGCTTTATTAAATGTATCACACAGTGGAACAGTATTATTTACCGGATTATGTTTCTGGCCCATTTTATTGTCCATAGTTAACACCATATTTATAAGACACGGTTTATGTGCTTCCAGTTCTTTCTCTTCTTTTGAGACGTAAGATTTTCTATATATCCGGAGCGGGTCCTAAGTCATTCCTGTTGTGTGTATTAGTTGTTGATTCGATAAACAAAGATTCGGTTACCAATCTGTCTCTCCTCCCCACAAACCCCCAAATTGAACTTATCAAGTGTACATTGGTGACTAGCTTCGAGAGGGGATTCCTGAAGTTCAAATGAGAATTGATTACCGGTGGGGCAAACCTAGTGGACATGAGGACAGATGATCAACGATGACATTAGATGATGGTTGCACTGTGTCATGGACTGACAGTAGTTGAAAACATGGATCAATGGACCCGATGACATAGTGGCTCAATGGTGACGTGGTGGCCACGGAACCTGAAGGTCAGAGGTTCGGTTCTTGGTGGGGTCATCAGGACGCACTGCTGAGGAGTCCCACACTAGGACGAAACAGTTGTCCAGTGCTCCCAGGTTCCCAACGTTCCTACAACTGATGTCAGTCCATGATGAAGACCAACTTACTCCTAAAGATTGTCTCTCTAACCCAACCTATCGTGTGGTTGTGTAATTGTATGCATGGATATGGCCGAGCTTTTCTCTAAATTCTTTGACTTACTAGGACCTGCTGATCCTCATTTAACCGAGATTTTGTGCTCGGATAGCCTAAGTTATCTCATTTGACTACTTTAACCTATTTACTTGAACTCGTAATCAATGTGAGGGATTTGGCTAACTAAGATATTCTGCGTAATTGGATCAATAAGATCTATGAACATCAAATGCTTGATTCTAAGTCAGTTCGTCGGTAAAAATACCACTGTAATTCCAGGCTCATTGAAAATCATACGTAGTACGGCTGAGGTGCCTGCCTCGTACGCCAAAATTGTAGCAGTTATGAATATTATTTATAAAGAATTCCTATGTTTGTTATTCTTATTACCATTACTACTACCACTATTACTCACACTACTACTACTACTACTACTACTACTACTACTACTACTACTACTACTACTACTACTACTACTACGGAAGAGACGGAAGATAACTCGACGAGAGAATGTTCATTACCAAAATTTGGAATGGTATTGGTTGCATGTGGTACTCCTTGCACTAACGCATCATTTGCAAATGTCTTCGATTCCTCTCCGTTCCTGTCTTGATTTGCTCTTGATCGGCTCTTCATACACTCTTATCAGCAGCATACCCTGTAATACGCCTGTGTTGTCCCCTGCGTTGCTCTTGGCAGAAACCTTACCCATTGCCGGTAATTCCCTATGATTCCTGTCAACCCCTCGATATATACTACTTATAACAACGGATATACCGTTGTTATCAGCAACGCCCACTACTACTACTACTACTACTACGACTGCTACTAGGGTTACTAATCCGACTACTACTGCGACTACTGGTAACACTACTACTACTACTACTAGTACCGCTGCTACTACTACTGCTACTTTTTTCTTGTTTTTAACTGTCCCACTAATGCCTTTTTTATTTTTTTTATGATTGTATTTATATTTTTAAATCACTCTTGGAGAGTAATTATCAATGAATAATTTGTTTAAAATATTTTTTTTCATGTCTCAGATCTTGTTTTTGTAGTAACTTTCTCGACCCTTTTACTCAAACTTTTTACTTCGGGAAATTTAACGGACCCAGAGTGCGATGATTTGAATCTAAATAAAGATTGGGATGTGAAGGCTTTCAAGAGAAACTGTTGTTTAAATAAATCAACTTAAAATGGAATTAAATTCTACCATAGTGCTAAGTTTCTACTATTATATTAAAATCTGTCGAGTTTCATTGCTTACTCTCATATTTGAGTTCAGCATTCATCTTGTCAATGAATCAGTTGAGTGTTGTTTGATTTATTCACAGTGAAATTGAAGTGGTATTTTGTATATCCTATTGTTAACTTTTCATTTCATACAGTTTACTGTGAAACAGTTGTTTCTGCTCCAGTTATTACTGCATTATATTGCATTTGTGTTTCCCGCTTTCATTTATTACATTCATATATTTCTTAAACATTCTGTGTAATATTTCAGTGGTGCCAATCATTTGTTTATTTACATTAGGCAGGCAAACCTAGAGAAGCTGTTCTTATGTATGTGCATAATCAAGATTGGGATTCAGCAGCACGTGTAGCCAGTGAACACGATCCTGACAGTGTAAATGATGTCCTACTCGGACAAGCAAGATTAGCATTTGGGGAAAAGGAATTTGCTCAGGCTGAGGCACTTCTTCTTAGAGCTCAACGTCCTGATATGGCAGTACGTGCTTATCGTGAAGCAGGGATGTGGGAAGATGCACTAAGAGTAGCTGAGACGTATTTACCAAATCGTGTTCAAGAGCTGAAGGTACTTATATTTCATTTCACTATTTGTATCTTTAATATTTGTGTTTACAATTTTTTTCAGATTTAGGGAAGTAATTCTTTGAATGTCTATTTCATATTGACACATTCAACCGGCATGTATACAAAATGAAATTGGTTTTGCCTACATACTAAGGTCATTTGATAATCCCTCAATACATCAGAAAAACCGATGATTATCTGCAACGGTCATCTTTTCGAAGGGTCGGCAACCTGATGCCGCATGACATCACAGAAGCCAACTGACTACCAGAACCATTGTGATCGTTTTTGTTGGTTCCATGTTCTGAAAGCAGCAAATGAGAAAAATAACTGTTAAGTAGCAGTTAAAGGGAATTATAATCTATAGCATAATTAATGCATATACAATGCTGGATTAACTTGTGTTCCGTATCATCTGGAATCGATAACCATCGATTTCAGTTGTCTAACTGACCTCAACACAAAAGCCCTCACTTCCATATCTGAATCAGATCAACAGTCAGGGACTTCACGTATTGGCTGGTGCCATATCTTAGTCTGCTAGCCCGAATAAGAGGTATATGACTTAGTTTTATACCATTAGTAAAGAAGCTTACTACAATAGTTATCATCAATGAACTATCAAAATACGTTCTCTTTTTGGAGATACACTACGTCATACATTAAAAATGCTCACATGTTTTCATATTTTCAAAACAAGTACAATTTTTCCTACAGTATATTAACTTTTGAAGTCGCTAAGGCATCCTGTTGGTGAAAGATTCACAGTCAAGTGGTTGATTTATAATTACTCATCTGATTTCTACACCTCTGGAAACCAAGGGGTTTTGGACACCTGTTTTTTGATTGGAAACTACAAGCACTAAACAAGTGTTCAATGTCTTTTAGGTCTTCAGTGTTTCTTCAGCTGATACTGATCCATGATGAATATTGTGAAAGCAATTGATTACCAATAAAACTTTGATTTTATAGACTAAGTCAAAGATCAGTGTATGATAAAAATCAAGCACATACGTACCTGATAGGTGTGTTATGCTGTTTGATAGTGTTTACTTAATTACACCAGTGACTTGGTTACAGACTTACTTCGAACATTTCAGCCTAGTGTGTTTGGATTCAGTTGGTAGGTATCAATGCTAGTGGATCCCAGGATGATAGATTTTTATTTTGAGCTGAACTTCTTTTATGCCTCTGCCGTTAGTCTTCACTATGTCTTCTTCTGCTTAAGAATATATATGTATATATATATATATATATATATATATATATATATATATATATATATATATATATATATATAGAGAGAGAGAGAGAGAGAGAGAGAGAGAGTCGTCATCGTTACTGACCACTGTTGGCTAACAAACTTACTGTGCAACTGAATCTATAGGGCTATTGATTACTTAACGATACTGTTTTGGAGTCAGAGATAATGGCATCGTTCGCCAACATGTCCAGGTATACTCATAATAGGTTTATCAGGTTGGTTAGATACTCATGTAACTGTTTTTAAAATGAATTCATGTATACTGCGTAACAAATTTGAAATTTGCTTCCTGAAAATCATTTGCACCAGTTTTGACTAAATTAGTTTCTTCAATTTATTGTTGGTCATTCATTTATTCTTACAACCGGTGAAATATAATGTGTTTACATGCTACTAATGAGTAGACAAAACAGAATAGCTAAAATGTGTTCGGTTGTTTTTTCTCCATTGCGTCAGAAACGAGTGAACAGGTGTCGTTTACTGACGTCTACTGTCAATGTTGCAAGCCGTTATCAGTGAGATTTTCCAAATCCTTTAATTTCCTACTCACTAAATCATGAGCCAAATGACCATATGATATAATTGAATGATAAACTTCAGGTTGGAATTCACCAACCTCCATATTGAATGATAAACTGTTGGATAATTCTGTTGTGACGAATCATGAAGATTAACTGTAAAACTTGGTACACCCCTGGTGTTACGTCACTTACTCTAGTATTCAAATCACAAACTTTATTGAATGACTTTAGTTACCAGAAAGGAGTTGAGAAGGTTATCAGTAATTAGCAAACCCACAGTACTCAAGTGAGTTTCATAAGTCCTTAGCAAACCGATCACTAAAGTTAGGTGGTAGATCACTGAATCTGTAACTCACAGGTAACTGGTCTGAATCCGTCTTCATATAAGTTTTTATTTATCTCCACTAGTTTTTTATTCACATAATCTATGACATGGTTCGCTTAGATAACATTTTAAACTCGATTATCTCATACAGACCTTCATTTACACCCGAATTACTCAACAGATGATAATCAGTGTAGCCGTTAAGTGCTTACTGTTGACAGAAGTCATATCAGTTGAGTTTAAAAGGTGGAGAATAAGTGAGGAAAAACCGCGGTGGGTTGTATTTCACCTTAGATATCAGGACTAAATCAACAGGAAAGCCTACTTTACCTAGAGTTCAGCAAGGTAAACACATAGCCTTTCTGAAACACCTGCTCCGTCGACGTTTAGGATGTCTGTCAGTCAATGCTGAAGAGACTTAATTGATTGTTAATTCAGGGTTCTTGGCTGTTTGATTCTTAACCTGCACTGCTATTATTCACTCACTAATTGGTCACTTTGAAGTAACCAATATTGTCTAGTCCTGAGTGTTAACTAATTTGATTCATAATTTTCCAACATCGTCATTAAGCTAAGAGACTCACGATTGCGGTGCACTTTCATGACTGTTAGTTGGTTGGAGGCAATGGTGAACCTTCTAGCTTCGTGGGGACATTGAGAAATGATGGATAGGATTCGCTTAGTATTTGGAACTACACAACATGAAATTGGTTACTTTCTATTGATCAACCAATTTATTTAATCCAGCTCTACAGAAAATCAGTCTTTGCCCGAAGAGCTTAGTGATGATGTAGATGGTTTCACTTCCAAGTGACACGTGTTCGAATCTCAGAGTGGAAATCACTCCCCTCCAGGTCGCAGATAAGCTATGCCGAAGAGTGTCAACCATCAAAATCCCAGGTCAAGCAAGACTTCTTCTCGAGTGACCCGACCCTGACTTCATCCAGACTGACCTGCATCCCAATAGATATAAGGTAGATTTGGAGTACTCAGACGATATTGTCATGCTGAGCAAAGACACTAACAAAATACAGGGTCTTCTGAATGCATCCATCAGAAATCGGAGTATGTTCGGCGTGCATTTTGGACCTGCCAGATGTAAGATGATGCTTTATGACTAGACTGGATGCATTCCACCACTTCACTTATTGTGAGGGGCTGCATCAGCTCGAACAGAGTGGCTGATAACGAAATCTCAGCTCCGATACAGAAGGGCCGGTTGGCATTTACTAGCTTACGTCATCTTTAGTGCCAACTGGTAAGACATCTGACTGCCTATTAATGAAAGAGTTTGCTGTGCTAACTCCGTCCTGTCCCGTATTCTCTGACATTACCAGTGAAAGTGCTAGGAATGGAGAGATTACAGGTTTTTGACCGTCCGGATCTTCATAACACTTCTTGTGTCCGGTGACAGCCCTATGTTAGCAATGTAAAGGTTACGCAAACGATACTGAGAAAGCCAGTCGATGAGGTCTTGAATGTAAGTCGACTGAGATAGCTTGGACATGTACTGTACATGTCAAACCACTGCCTACTTCTACATGCAGTGCTAGGTAAAGCTCGATTAGGTTGGAATAAGGTTCAGACTGGCCAGACTATGATGTAGCATAACTGAATGAAATCTCTGAGTGTCGATGTATGTTGTTTGGGAAGATATAGACTACCTGGCTGGGGTCTCCAAGACGATAGAAATCAGTGGTTGAAGACGGTTGACGGTATGGCTGAAAATCAGTCACAACAGTGCAGACATGTTCACTCTTTGACGTTTTCTAAAGTGTGAATGCTTTAAATAACCTTGATTTTTAAATCCTTTCCTCTTCCATGCACCTTTTTGTGCTCTGACATCAGTCTTTTTCCATTCACTCGCTTTTATCACGCTACCGTGCAGTTGAAACGATCTACTTTGTGCAAGGTTCTACATTGATTTTGTCTGCCTAATTGCTTCAAATCATTTAGTATTATTAAGGTTGTCTTAAATAGTAGGATAATTTATTATACGATGACAGCTTTTATGTTCACTTTTGAAATAAAGGAAGAGTTACGCGAAGAAAGAATGCGTGCTATAACCGGTGGAGATTCAGGACGTATTGGCCAGAAACACAGTGGACCTGGCAGTAAACAGTCAACTCATCATCGTCAGTCATCATCTTCAGCTATGGATGATATCTCAAGCAGAAGTGCAAACCCCTACTTTATACAAGCAAGGGACTTTGAATCCCGAAGCGAATACCTACGTGCAATTGAATGTTACTTAAAACTTGTTCCCAGTAAAAATTCTGCAGATACTTTAGACGAATCGTCTTGTCTCCCACCAGATATATGTGAACATGCTTGGTTGCATGCCGCCAATTTGGCGGTGAAGTTTTTGCCAGCTGAAAGTTCTGTCAAGGTGGCGGAGTTGGTAGCCTCACGTTTAGTATCTATTCAGGTAGGCGATATATACTGAAATTTTATTCAGTCTTTAAAACTAATTTTGTCCACTGACGAATGAGTCAGCGTTCACTTGACCAACTGAAGATCAAATGTAGGCAAAAAACTGTTAGTTGTGTTTTATGGGTAACCTGAGTGAGCGAATTTAGCCTTCATGTTATTCTGAGGATTATATGGTTGAACTTGATACTTTGGTCCACAATTAGATAAAGTTGACTCATTCCGGCTGAGTGATGACGATTAGCAAACGACTGAACTGTCGGCCAGCTGTTGTATGCAAGTATTGTCCAATAATGTCAAGCTTCCGAAGCAAAGATTATCAAAAATATAAAACAGTCAATTGTTAACAGCAAATGTGACCGAAATATAATAGTTACGATGTGACTTTGAGATACAAAACATATCAGGATATGTAAGCATGTACATGAAGGGGTGTGAACTTACAGACGGTTAAGAACTCGTTCCTGGCTACGTTTTTTTGCAATATTTAAAACAACGTGAATTGGATATTTGTCATCTCCATCCATCAGATCCTATGCTTTTAAAGCCACCCATATTCAGGCACCCTCAACTATATACCACGGTTACTCCACACACTTGTATTTAATGAAAACAACGTTCCCTGAATAAACTTCGATAAAACAATACAAAGACGTAATTTGTGTGCAAAGTGTGACATATTTGAAACAATCAGATAATATACTTATCAGTCATAAGTACTTATATGAAAGATTGTAGAGGAATAAGAGGTTAGAATATGAAAAGGTATGTGGGAGCAGTGACTCTAAAGACCACTCCAGCAACAACTGAAATAACCAGTCAAGCTTAATTATTTAGGCTGGAAAGGCAAATTTTCATAATTGGTTTCTAACTTCAGTTGTTGTTGATGATGATGGTTTTTAGAGTTACTCGTATAAGAGAATGGCTAAACTGAAGATCAAAATAACAGTGAAAATCAATAGAGAAGTAATAGTACATCAAACTTGGTTTTAAGGCTGAATTCACAATTGTATTCACTTTGAACCTCTCTTGATAGCATTTATTTCAATTTTTATACCGCGGCTGGTGCGATGTAGAATTGTTGTTTTTGTTCTATCTATCCTTCTTATTCGTGTTTTCTATTAACAGAATTGCTACACTAGTAACATTCACACTCTCAAAAAACTTTAGAGTTAATTTTACATACAGAAATCTTTTTTGACGAAGCATTTTACAAATAAGAGGTCCATCTAGTATCTCTAATTTGGTGATGCAGGCGATGGATATGTAAGTGGTTTTAAACTGTATTTAGGGTGACCTTGGTCAAGCAGTTCAAATGGTTTTAGAAAAGTGAACATTAGTCTGGAAAGTGAGTTTTAAAACGGCGTAGTTGTTTCTCTTCTAACTGAGAATTAGAAGAGTCGTACTACTGTGTCACTTCACCTGTTAATGAATAGGAGTTGGACTAGTGCTGTTCAAAGTTATTCTTGTTTATTCGTTTCTATATACCTTGTCAAACTTCCAAACAAGGGAAACCTTAGTCCTTACAACAACTGGCACGGAATCATGCTGCTGTTCACCCCAAGCAAAATATTATGCCTCATCATCATCCTGGAGATACTAAAAGATGCGCTGGATTCAAGATTTCAACCGAAACAAGCTGGCTGGCTGGCTGGATTCAGGAAGAACAAATCATGTGCGGATCAAATTATAAAGCTACGCTACGCACCATCATTGAACTGAGTAGTATAGAATGGCAGTCAACTCAACTCTACCTCAACTTCATCGACTCTGAAAAGGCCTTCGACAGCATCGATCGAGAAGTAATTTGGAAACTGCTTCAACACTACGGTTTTAGTGCCACAAACCTTTATCAACCTAATTCAACAACGACATGAAGACGCCACATGTCAAGTGATTCACAATGGAAAGTTTAGTGATGCCTTTGAAATGAAGACAGGAGTAAGATAAGGCTGTCGCCATCTATCACCCATGATCTTCGTGATTGTGGTCGACTGGACTGGATAATGCAACAGACAACCGTGAGGAGCGAGTAGAGGGGGAAAGGCTGGCTGGACTGATGAAAAGACCCTAGAAGAAGATTGGATTTCGCCGATGACTTATGTCTAATGTCTTGTCGCATAAACTTGAAGATCTACAAGCGAAAACTGACTAGTTGATATAAGAGGCAGAGTAGGGTAGGGTAGGGTAGGGTAGGGTAGGGTAGGGTAGGGCAGCGAAGACGGGACTTCAAGTGAATGTAGACAAGACAGAGGTGGTGAAGATACCCAACCAACACCACCAACAACAACATCAACAACAAGCGCCAATCACCATGAATGGGAGGGACTTAAAAGAAGTAGTCTCACCTACCCAGGCAACAACATTTCAACTGCAGGTGGCACAGGCACAGATGGGGATGTCAAAGCCAGGACCGGGAAAGCAAGACAGGCGTTCATTAATCTGAAATCAGTGTGGAGATCTACTGCACTCAGAACAAAGAATAAGATTCCGATTTTCAGCACCAATGTCAAGCCAGTGCTCCTATGTGATGGTTCAGAAAATTGGTGTGTTACGAAAGGCATTTGTAACAAACTACAGACATTCATCAACAGCTGCCACCTACGCTGGCTCGATACTGAATATCAGATGGGCAGAAAGAATGAGCAATAAGGAACTCTGGGAACGAACCAACCAAGAACCTATCGCTCAACAAATATGCAGAAGGAAGTGGAGATGGATTGGGCATACACTGAGAAGGCCGACTAGGGACATCACGCTCCAGGCCCGTCAAGTGGGACCCAAAGGGGAAACGACGAACTGGGCGTCCGTGGTGAGGGTGACATGGAGGAAATCATGTGAGGAAAAAGTGAAAGCTTGTGGGCAGTCTTGGAGCGAGGTTGAAAAGACTGCAGAAAAACAGAGAGCAATAGAGGCGTGCTACTGAACCCCCCTATGTTCCACTAGGAACCCAAGGGAAAAATAATAATTTGCTTTGGATGTTGCTCTTTTCTTTTGTTTTTATATTTCAAACATTTAACTGTTGTCATATGAGGACAGCAAATGAAGTGTCTGATAGTTGAACTATTTTGTGACTCTCTTGCTTACACATGACAGCTATAAAACATAAGACTTAATGCAAGAGATATTGATGGGTTTTTATATCCCCTTGATTCTAGTTTTAATGGATGCTTAAAAATCTATGCTTAGTATTCAAGCAGACTGATAGTATTAGGTGAATTGGTGACGGTACGATTATAAGAAAATATTGAATTTTTGCAACTGATGTCAGCCAGGATGAATACCAACCTGAAAAGAAAATATTCATCTACTCGCTATTGCTGATAGATCTAAGATTACTTTTCAGTGATTATCACCAATAAATACCCCCAGTGCATAAGTGGAAATATATTAGTTGGAGTATGCCTATCATGTGGATAATATCTGGAAATTATAATGCCTAAAATCTCATTGTTACCGTCTACAGAATTTGTTTGCGTCAAGCATGCATCGTGTACTTTCAACTTACAATGATATTATCGTGATAAATATAGAAGATACAACATAAAAAATGTATACCAAATTGTTATTATTATCGGGTGAGGAACTGGAAGTGATCAAGTGAAGATAATCTTCACTTCAAGATGTTCAGATCATGGTGTAGACCGATCTCATTCATATTATTCGGAATATGATGTTTGGTATGGTGTACCCGTATACAAATAAGCTATTTTATTCCAATCTTATATGAAATATGCCTTTAAAGTTTTTTCCAGAAAATACAAAGAAAAAAGATCAGTCGATTCATCCACTTTTTACAAGGAATTTGTCATTGTCCTTAAAAAATAAGCTCTAGTTGAACAAACGGAGGAGTATAATGCAAACTGACCAGAGTCTGATGTGTCAACCAAGTAACGAATTATAATTTATCTCCTTTAACGATTACAATCCAAACAAAAGTGTTTATTTACCTGATTAACTAACCGGAAGTTGAGTTATTCGGTTAATATTCAACTTTCTCTACCCTTTTATCCGGATATAACTAGTACACATGAGTTAAAACAGTTACAGTGATTCATCCCTTCGCTGACACGCCTTCTTTGAATTGAATGGTTTATTCGGGTAAGTTTTCATTGTCAGTGTACGCAACAACATCACTATCAGCACAAGCTCCATAAAGAAAGGGTCGCATAAGAGTTCCTCTATATGTGACTTAATAGCTTATGCTGATGACCTTCAGCATGATTGATTGTCTCCGTAATATTGTGTTACCATTATCTTCAGAAGTGTTTCGATTGGCTGTCCTAATGATTTAAACTGTGACCTGATTGGTATTGTTTCTCATGTTTTTCATCAGTTTACAGATAAGTTAGGTATCATTGTGATTACTAATAGCCGATTAAGCCGAGTGTCAAGCTTCTAGAAAATCTCTAACATTCGCTGCATTTTGCCTGTTTGTCTAAGATTTCTGTATTTATCAGACAAGTTCATTTTTATAAGTGTCCTCATGCACTGATATTAGCGACGATAAATCATGATGCTTAACCCCAAGTTTGTCTTTTTGTAGGTGTATGGGTAGCGAGAATCCACTCTGTCCGATACAGTGTTTGTCATAGTTACTACAGTCTGGTTTGTAGATCATGTTTACGATTGATTTTCTCCTTTGGAAAATCTTTGTCAACTTGCATTGTGTGCATTCGTCGGCAGTGTGTTTGTAGTAGTTAAAAACTCCAATAAAAGATTTCTGTTTGAACCGTTAGTCACCAAATTTATATATATTTCCAACAAAATGATATTTTAAAAACTTTCCTTAAAAACTTAATATTTTGCGTTTTGTTATTATTTTTTTCTACTCATCGGAATTCTAAGCGTCACATTCTAGCGGGTGATTTACTGTTGAGTGTTGATAAAATTCAAAAGGCGATTGATGCATTTATTGCTGGTGAGAATTGGTCAAAGGCTAAATGTGTGGCACGTGAATTGGAGCCACGTTTAGAAGCTTACGTCGAAGCAAAGTATAAAGAGGCTTTAAGGGTAAGTCACTATAATGAGAGAAGAATTTCTCTTTGTTTACAAATGCTAGAGCTAATCTAATTGTTAACATTTTCAATGTCGCTTTGTTCATCCAATATGCATCAATAAATGTTTAAATCTTATCTGAAGAAAGTATATGAAATATTACTCAAAATATTTGTCAGTAGCTACTAGTGGAATCCAAAACACACTCCACTCTAATTTTGGCTCATCAGTTGAATGGAACTCCATCTCTGATAGTACTGCTTCTGTCTCTCTGAAACTTGAGTCAATCACTCATCAGTTCAAATGTTAAAGCATTATTATCCATAAGGTTGTTGACTTACGAAAGCCATATTCATTTCAAAGAGTATAGCTTTGTGATCGTGAATTTCCATGTGTTCCGTTCTTGGTTTATGAAAGTGAATTGATTCATCTCTGTTGATGTATTAACTCATTCACTGCACAGAAAGATGCCTAGATAATTCCTGATTACTCATTGGCGGTTAGTAGCTAGCAGCATTTACTTCCAGAATGAACATCTTCTCTGTAATGACTGATAATCTTAGTACTGACTTGGTCTGTGCTCATTTACATTACTTATCATACCAATAAGATAACAAAATTGTGTAAAAGGTGAGTATACTTCTCAGTATTCTACACTGTGCTTCTCCGCAACAGCTAAGTAAGACTGCTGAAAATAAATCTCATGAGAAAGGCAATAGGATTTCGTCATAATTTTCTTCAAGGAAATTTTACGTGTATTGAATCTATCTACTGAGCGCTGTTGACATTAGCTGCATAGTTCTGGACAAGTAAAGTATATCAGCTAATGAAGATGCAAACTAGCACGGATCACAGTGGTCGACTTAGATTTTTATGCATGCCAAGCCGTCACCTATTGTAACATGCGACGAAGATTCTTCAAAGAGGTAGGTTGGAAAGTATCCTAAGTGTTCATAACAAACATTGTGTGAATCTATTAGTCCAACTAGCGCTGAAGTCTGCATGCTTTGTTCTGGATTCTCAGGGTGCTATGAATCATTGAGAAATCCCAGATGGTACAGTTCCATGACAGCTTTGCATTGATGATCGATAGTGAAGTGGTTGAAGGCGTCGATGACTTCACTTACCTGGAAATTTGAATCAGCCTTGGTTGTTTGGTGGTTGATGAAATATCAACATGGATTCAAAGAGCTAGATCACCCATCACTGACTTATACCGCTTTTATCTCTGGTGAAATATTCCAATGTCTATCAAAGGTTGAGTTTTCTTTGTAGCTCTTTGCCCTATTATACACTATGGTGATTAAAATTAACTGCTAAAGGTAGGGGATTTTCGAAGACCTCAACTGATAATACATGGCTACTGAGGAACTTCCACATGAGGAAAACGGAGGTTGAGTGTAGAGTTCCAGTTAGAGAAGGTGAGTAATCTGATGGGGCTATGAGGCTCCTTCGACTGAGGTGGTTAGATCAAGTATTATGCAAACGAGATATCACCTACCTCAGTGCTTCGTTTCTGGTAGAGTAGAACCAGAAACTTGAGAATGATCACACAAAGTTGTCATAGAAAAATTACTTGAAGTTTTTACCTGTTAATGTTCTAATTGGGACCTGTGAGATAAAAAGAATCCACTATTGGAAGCTGTGGGTGAAATGACTAAGAATCATTTCCAGTGGTCCAAATCCACTCATCCCTTATCTCCATCTCAGTCGTAAGGTAACATATTTAGTTTCCTTTACTTCTTTATGCTTTAGCCCTTAACTTCTTAATGCTTCTGATTACACTATATTTATTTTCTCTTCTTGCTTCTTATGACATTTTATTTGGACATGGTGATTTGACTTGGCGTAGCCTGGATTGACACACAGTGGTCCTAGGTCCTATGTTATACGAACTTATCTGTTAAAAGCTGATTATATTTGCATATTGTATTCATTTCCTGTCTTGCTTCCTGTGGAATGTCAACAATCTTGCCTCTTCATGTCTGCTAGTATCTTGATTAACGTCCTGTTTGATTTCTTCAGTTTGTCTACATACTTTTAATTTCCGGTTGTTGTACTTTCGCTAAATGTTGCAACTTGAAGCGGTGTACTTCGTTTCAAGATTCTTGTTTCATGGGTTGATATACATCCATTGACTGTCTATGTTGTATTTCACTGTAAAATATGAAACTACCCAGTGGAATGTAATTGCTTATTTTCTTCTTTTAAGAAGTTTTAAGAACGGCAATGAAGTTTAATTATAAACACCTACTGATATCTCATATTCATCCTGCCCATGATCATTTAATCTACCATCGGTCAACGATTTAGAGATGAGGTGCGTGTTTTAGAACAATGACAGAACTGGGGCATATTTCAAATACGCTTCAGTAACCAGAAAATGATGCTTTGCCACTGTCTATTTGCCAAATCACTAGTCAGAAAGTTTACCGCTTAATGTTTCGTTCGTTTACTGCAGATAAAAAACTCCAAGTGGATGATATTCACCTAGACAAGAACATATACGCTTGAAAGAATGATATGAAATTCACTTTAATTGAACAGGATCTTCATACAGTTCTTCGCCTTCATTTATTTGAATGGAGCAAAGAGAAGAATATTAGCAGGATTAGTATGCATATATTTTGTACATTCTCCTCAGCTGCTTTACAACCTGTAGAATATAATGTTGACGGGTTGTGGTTAGCAGTGGAATCCAGGGTGTGCATTTCGTCCTATTTGGGACTCGTCAGCTGGATGTACCTACCTCCCAACGAGGGATGTCGTTCCCACCGGATTTGAACCGGGGACCGACCACTTCAAACGCCAGAGCGTTACCTACTAAACCACACAGGCACGACGGCCGATGTCACTGGGATTAAATCACAGGTACTATCGATGCATCTGTAAGGAGTCCATATGCTAATAGAGACCGGTCAATTCGGTTCAATCAACGACGGTATAATACAAGCAATAACACCGTAGAATATAATGTTTGTAATAAAACAAGGCATGCAACTTATTTTTATATATTTTGCGAAGATATATCTTTTGAGGATATTTAAAGACTGCAATCCATGAGGAAACTCTAACTTACATAATGGGAAGTTGAAGTAACAGTAATGGTGGTTATAGTTATAATAATGTTGCTAGTTGATGATGTAGAGGTTGAGTGAAAACCAATAGGGGTTACGTAAGATTTTTTAAGTTGTTTATAAGGTCTATATAGATTAAAAAGGAGGGAATACGTGGTAGAGTTAATGAACAATCAAAGGATTAGGTAATTTGAATGAAACAAGTTAATTTGAATAAATTGAAAATGCTTTGCTAAAAGTTGCGATCATTGGAGTGATGAAATGAAGTAATACTGGAAAGTATTCAGTGGAAACATAAAAGTGATAATGATGATGTGAGTACAAAGACTATAATTTCATCTTACTCTGTTTATGAGAAATGTCACACAGTATCATTTACTGGATGACATTTCGGACGTAATTTATTGTCCATATTCATATTATTTGCAAAGTACAAAGAATAATCTAACAAAAGAGGAAGTTGAAAAAGCAAAAAGGAACGAAGCAAACAAAGACTAAATTAAATTAAGACCGAGGTAGAGACAAATATTGTATATACTTCTTTTGCACACAAAGGTCAAGCTTCAGTTCAAGGATAGCCAAGGTCTTTGCTGTTTTTAGAAGTTGAAGACGGAGGGAACGTGAGATGTTTGAGTGAATTCAGTAGACAACCTTAAAATCGTTATTTGAGTCAGTTGAAGGGTTAGGATCGATTAGATGTTCAAGTATAGAACTTTAATGCATTTCCTTTCACCCGTATAAAACCAGGTTGGGATATGTCCTCGTAAACGCGTTGACTGCAATCTTTGTCTATGATCGATAGACCATGCTCTAAAGGAGCAGGTGAACTGGCAGACACAGATGGGATGTGACCTGGCGAGTTATATTGTCTTTACATAAACCGAGAACAATTTACGACTGGTAAAGTTCAAATGAATTTTGGCTGCGAGACAATGTAGGCTGACCAGTATCGATGCAATTTGATGGACCTGTTGAGACTACTGATAGATGAACTATTTATACAATCACATAATGAGCATTCTAGCGAAGGTAACAGAAATCGAAGAAGGTTTCACAGCAGTTTATTATCTAATCGGCAAAAGGGAAATGACACCATGGCTAAGTAAACGTAATTAGAGGTTAACAAGTTATCATTATATTGAGTAACAAGGTGAATGCAATTCAGAAAGTGAGCGTAGGTTTTAAAACACATCGAAAGCAGAAACGAAAAAGATATAAGGTCATGAAGTCGTGAAAACTTTCAACTATGAATTTTAGAATTCAAAATCATCAAGATAAAACAAGGTTAGCATCAGTATCTTCTTAAATATATAGATTAGCTTTGAGTCTTGTAATTGTAGCTTCTTCAACAAAAGTTTGGGTTTAAGTTATTTATTGATCACTATGAGAGATTTTGATACGTCGAGTTTATGTCCAGTATCCAGTTAATGCCATGCGACTGCACCACTTCATCCTGTGCACACTTAAGACTCGAATTCTTCGAGATATGTTGAAAAATGCAAACAAGAACCTTTCTCTCTGTTCTTCCGATGTATGTGCTTCAGCACATATATGTGAGTTAATAGATACAGTTGGAGGTAACAAGAGTTAGGAACTTGTCCACTTTGGACTGTTTCAGTGAACATTTGATCTGAAACACACAAACTAACTTGAGGGCTAGATAGGCCTTTTTCAGTGCAGCAGTCAGTCTACGGTTCATTCATGTGGCTATTTCATCCATTTTGAGACAAAAGTATAGAAAGATGGGCCTCTCAGATGTACTACAGTTACTTTTCTTTGTTTCTATCCTACCGTACTCAGTAGTAAGCTTTTATGGGTAACCATATTGTTCGATAAAGGTCAGTTCTTCCTAAATTTTCTCCTTAGAGTCCAGTATACTTGTACGGTTGAAGAGCAATCAATCAATCAATCAATATCAACATAGGACCAGGCATTACTGCGTAATGGTCCGATTTGTCACACCTCACATCAGTACATCAAGTAGAAAGCTATGAGGTGAAGGATGAAGATAAGAGAATGCAGTCAAACGAAATATAAAGTACGAGAAGAAAGGAAAGGGGAGCGACAAAAGGGTGAGATTCAGTATAGCGTCGTTAAGATGAGGATAATGTGTGTATACATCTGCGCCACTGACACTGGTTCTGAACCATATCATCTACAGTTTCCAACCACTGGTTCCTCTTGTCCCTTGGACCCCAACCACCTAGTCTGCATCGTCCTACATGGTTTAAACCAACAGTCAAAGACTTAAAACATTGGTGCCATGTTTTAGTCTGGCCACCTCGGGCCTTTTTCCAGCCTGGACTCACCTCAGCCAACATTATGTGACGAGGCAATCGGTGACTGGGCATACGTAGTACGTGTCCCAACCATCTCAGTCGATGAAGGTACATAACCTCGTAAACCGACTTACTTCTTCTCCCTAAAACTCTACTTCTGACTTCTGCGTTACTCATGTGGTGACACCACGGAATACGGCTTATACTACGAAGGCAGTGGTGGTCAAACGCCCGAAGTCTTCTCATCTCTTCCACCTTCAATGACCATGTTTCATAGCTAAGCAGTGGGACAGATCGTACTGCTGTGCTGTACACGCGACCCTCAACAGACAATCAGATATCATGGTGGTTCCATAGGTGGCATAAGTTGGCGAAAGCCAATCGAGGCTTTTGTATCCGTGCAGAGATCTCATCGGCAACTAACCCACCAGGGTTGATCCTACTTCCCAGGTAAGTGAAGTTGTCGACACACTCAACCACTACATTCTCTATTGTTAACCGTGGCACCATTGAAGACCAATCCTGGAGCAACAATTTGCATTTAGGTGGTGAAAACCGCATCCCAAACATTCTCAAATTCCCACTCAAAGTGTTTAGAAGACTCTGCATCTTGTCGGCGTCTTCACCTAACAGGACTATGTCATCTGCATATTCTAGGTCTAACGAAAATTCTCCTGCGACCAGGTCAACGTCTCTGTAATCAGGTGACGAGAGGGAGACCTCCATAATAATGTCTATTATGAAATTGAATAAGAATGGAGACAGTGGGCACCCTTGAAGGACACCACTCGATGAGTACAGCTCACTTGATGGTCTCACCATAGGCTGTAACATGCCCACAAGTGTTCGAGTAGAGAGCCTTCAATAAGATGATGTACTTACTAGGCACGCCTTTCAGTGACAGACATTGCCATAAGACTTCTTGATCAACGGAGTCAAACGCCTTCTTTAGATCGAGAAATACAGCTAGTGTTGGGCGTCGGTAAGCGTGTCTGTGTTCCTGGACCTGGCTCAGTGTGAATATTTGGTCGATACACCGGCAGCCAGGTCTAAAGCCTGCTGCCTGGTTTTCTCGGGCTTGCTGTTCCCGAGCTCCACTCAGGCGTCGAAGAATTATAGAACCTAGGATCTTAGACACTATGTTCGTCAGGCTGATTCCTCTGTGGTTATCACAAGAGGACTTCTCGCCTTTCTTGAAGACTGGGATAATGAGTGACTTAGACCAGTCGGAGGGGATCGTATTTGATTCCCATATACTAGCTAACACTTCCGTTGACCTGACTAAGAGCACTCTACCACCATTCTTGTATACCTCAGCAGGTAGTCCGTCTGGTCCTGCTGCCCTTTCTCATTTCAGGTTACCTACCGCTTTCTCAACTTCTTCTAGTGTTGGGGGCCTGTCTCTATGTCCCATTCAGGATCCGACTGGATAGCGGGCAACGCAATGGTGGCTGGAGGCCAGTTAAACTGTTCCTCGAAGTGTTCTGCCCATCGTCCAGTCGTCTCCTCTGCGAGTGAATCGCAGATCCGTCCTTCTCCGCTATAGCCTCACTAACTGTTGTTGACCATTTCCCCCCAGTCTCCTTAATAAGTCTAAATAACTGTCTACTGTTACCGATCGCCGCTGCCTTTTCCATCTCTTTAGCCTTCGCTGCCCACCACTGTTCACGATCGTTGCGCAGACTTTTCGTCAGTCTATTTTTAAGTTGCGCTCGCTCTTCATTGTACTCAGAGCCTGCAGGGATGCATTCACGTGCATCCATTAGTTTGGAAGAAGCTGCTGATATCCACTGGCTCTTTTTAGCCATTATTTTGGAGTCGGCTACAGTCTTCAGTGCTGCTTTTACAGCAGACTGAAGATGGCACCAAGCTTCTTCTGGATGAGTGACAGTCTTTTGTTCCGATAACTGCCTAGCCAACTTCTCACTGAACACGGCTTTGGTGTTTTCGTTGTCCAGCAGAACTCGTAGTGGTTTTGTTGCCAAATTTTTTTTACGTCCATTGAGACGCAGGCATATACGTGCTCGGACCAACGCATGATCGCTGTCCAAACACGTACTCCAGAAGGAGCGGCAGTCTTCCACCGATCCTCTCCAGCGATGACTAATAGCAATGTGGTCTATCTGTGTCCATCGCTGAGTTGAGCTCGGTGGACGCCAGGTCAGACAGTGCCTTTCTTTATGTCTGAAATTGTGCTGGCTAAAAATAGGCGGTTATCTGAGCATAGTTGTAATAGGCGATCACCGTTATCTGTACGTTCAGCTGGGATTCCGAAAGTGCCACCTAAGTGCCTTTCTGCCTCACCTGCAAGATCCCGAAAGTTAGCTAACGAATCTCCAGAAACTCGAAGGGTGAATTATGCGGATTCACCAGATTGGTCGGGAGAGGATAGATGGGTCGTATATGCGTGTCTCACAAACACAGCACACATCCACGGCCCGAGTTGCTAGAGTCTTTGCCAACGAAACCCACTGACCAATTTGATGGAGGGTGCGGACATTGAAGGCTCCAATATGTAATTTGGAGCATGGTTTAAGGAGACCAGGGATGCTGTTCTGTGGACTCAGATCGTTGTGAAAGGCTGCAGAGCTAGGAGGAATTGAAGATAATGCATTATCGTTAGTTGAGGACGTGAAGGAAGATTAGGAGGTAATGATGGGGGAGGTGGGTAGCAGTCTGAGGAAACTTGAGTGCTGACAGAGTTGTGAGGGCGATTGATACTTCCTGGCTGCCCACACCGTGGAAGGCTATTTCTTCTTGAGGAACCTGAAAGAGATTTGTGTGACCACAGAGCCCATCGGACATCTGTTTGAGGCCTGTCACACTCAGTCTTTTGTGTATGATTATTTTGAATTATTTTGTATTTTTGGGGCTGGATGGTCGAAAAGAAACGACGAGTGAACCAACACCGCCGGCCCGGCAGACCGTGGGGTATGATGGAGTGTTATTTTAAGAGCCGACTTTTTCCAGCCCCTCCTTCCACTGAGAAGGCAGCATCAGCATGGCACTGCTGGTCATCCAAGGGAAACACCTTACTGCTGTCACACCCCATCCAGCTAGCAGCAGTACGACTTCGCCCCCTGACCCCCATCATAGTGAAGTGATTTACACTACAACGGTAACTGCATTTCGTCTAACCACTATCCAACAGACCTTGTTGGTATGGTAGGACCTCGAGGGAACAAGCTTTCCACCAGCATAGCTCGTTGAGTCATTGTGATATGCAAGCCCGACCACCACGTCAAGGTAGCAGCTATCGGTCGGGTAAATGTTTAAGTAATTGGGTAGAAGCTCCTATATTATCAAACATGTAAGTTTTAATATAATTCTAGAGTGTTTCAAAAATCATGACAAGATTTTTCTGTGTATGTCATAGACTCAGTGCTCAAACTGTTCCAGGAAACTGGTAATAACTACCGATCAGTGTTGATTATTTTCAAACAAATATGCATTTTGTCAGTATGTTTTGCTGAGATTAGCTTATTCTTCAAAGATATTCATTATGACATCGCAGTTTTTTTTACCAAATCTATCCTTCCACACTTTATCAGGTCACTTCTTACTGTATCATCTTTTGTTCATTTCACACAGTCGACTGGACAGGCTGAAACGCTGGCTGGAGTTGATGTTATCTCTGCACTTGAAATGTATGCAGAACAAGGTAGATGGGAAAAATGTTTATCTGCAGCTGAACAATTACTACGTGATGCCCATCTTTCCTCTGGTGGTGGTGATAATATAAATAGTAACACAGTAATGGGACTATCAATTCATCAAAAGCTCTTAAAGAACATCAACGTTTACACAAATACGTTGCAGCGTATGCAGCTAGTCTGATTAAAGATTCACGTGTTTATGATGCTATGCTTTTGTACAAAAAATATGGTACACCAGCATATAAACAAAACTTTAATATTTATAAACGTATATTTCAAGTAAGTGGTTCACTCCATTTTGAGACTTGAAACATTATTGGTACAGTTTGGATTTGTGTAAGTCACAGCGTGTTTGAAATGAAATAATTCCAACGTTTTACATGAAAGTCTGGTTCGAGCCTATTCAGGATAATAATAAAAATAAAAATATCAAGGAAATATAGATGAATCCAAAGACGTGTATTTAACCCCGTTGTTCAATCTTCCTCGTCTTTCGAACGACACTGAATATACGGAAAGGACTGGACAGGGAGATTAAATACACGTCTTTCGATTCAATTATCTGTCCCTAATATTTTTGATTTTATTATTTCCTTTAAGAACCTTAGACCAGACTTTCATGTAAAACGTTAGAAGTATTTCACTTGAAACACACTGTGGCTTACAAAATACAAAATATATCTAATGTCGACCTTTATTTCAACACCCAGTATTTACTATAGTATTTGGTCAAATCTTGATCATAGTTAATTTAAAATACTACTAAGTAGAAATACACAACTTTAAACAATGACAGAAATAGAGGTTGACTACTTGTAAGTAGTGTATCTTCTTGTTGAAACTTTTGTGACACATTTTCGTTGTGGTCTAACATCAGATGGACTTGAGCAAGCATATGTAGAATTGAAATCAAACAAAGTTTCCGCACTACCGACAGTATTTCACACAAAAACTCTTAGCGCTTATTTAGTGAAATCAAATCAGAAATGTACTGAAGAATATTATAATAATAAGCAGAGACTGTACAATTTTGTGAAAAAATGAAGTCAGATCAGCGAGTACCTCTATATGAGTCTCACTGCCCCTACTTCACTAGTTCGAAGCTTCTGAGATGACGAATTAGGTCCACAGTATTAGACAAAGACAATAATTTTAAAACAAATCGCACTCAATGCTGCGAGCGAACCCATTTCTTATTAGACAGAATACAAGAGTCAGTATTTTTTATACACTATTTCAGTAGACATCGACATCATCTTTCCTGAAATATGAACAAACAGTATTGGAAGATGATAGTGAAGAGAAAGTGCGTGTTTGCTGATAAGATGCCGTAAATTTAGAAGCTTTTGATAATGCTCACCTAGATAAGTTTTACTGATCGATAAGGACTCATGAGAGCTTATTTAACTTTACTGTAAGATACTTATATAAGTGGGCATTATGAAATATGAAGAAACACTGATGTGATACGATGCTGAAAATGTATTCAGTACAACACTAATCACTTTCAGAGTAGCTGGAATCGCAGACTGACATTAAATCTCTATAAATCACTCAACTGGTGGTCATCAGGGACAAATTTTGTGAAATGTTTTCCCGAGGAGTTTATAATAAGTAGGCCATAACCTGTTAGGTTAACCACTTTTGATGTAATGATAGATGCTTGTAGACTGACAGAAGTTGGATAGCATGAACCACTGGTGAACATTGAAGTACTCTGCATGAGATCTACTGGGTATGCATCCTATCCGAAATATAGTAGATTCACGTGACTTGGGAGACCTAAACACAAGCAAACCAGTTGTCTGTCACTGTTACTGGTTTCCAGTGATTCTGTATCTGATGTCGATTCGCAATGGAAAATGATCTTAGAGTCAGTCATTTCTGCTTTAAGGACCCGACTAAATCAAGCTCACCTTTTTACTTCGACAACCGTGATATTTTTCTTGATGATGATAACGACCAGTTTTAAATGGAATTTTTACTCTCAGAATATACTGCATACCTTTGAATTTTGATTGTGGCCATTTTCTGTACACTTAGGATATAACAAGCCAACGTGGTTTATACGGAGCAGATGCCTATTCAACATGGTCTACTCTACGTGATATCCTATTTGATTTAAATCAAAATCTCAAACAAGTGAAAACAGATATACAACCGGAGATTATAAAAATATTTGAGCGTATGCTCTTGGTTATTCATTATTATGCTATGCGTTCAGCTTTACTATCATCACAACAAGATGTCAAAGAGGTAGGTTGTACCAGTGATTGTTAATTAATTATTTACAGTTAGAATGAATTTTACAATGACCTTGTAAAAATAGTGTTGATTGGCTATTTGATTCTGTTTCCTAAATGATTGGTAAACCGTGGTTGTTTGAATTCAAGTCATAGTTGACAAAGAGATATCGTTCATTATTTAACCTTACTTGGGAACCCTGACTATTAAAATGCTATACATTTATACATATACTGATTTAATATTTTTGATGACTTTAGGAAAAATGATTCATAAAATTGTTAACTTCTTCAGACTACTTGTACTACATTAAATCTTGAGCAATATTTACACACAGAATTTTGAATGTTTCATAAAAGTGTTCAGTAGGCTGTGAAGCCACACATGCTAACACTACTTTGAAGACGTCTGTAACGACCTCCTATCCGCGTTATCATTCTGCATGAAGGATACACCGAACAGCCGAAGAGTAGAACAAAATGAACAGCTGTGCAATCTATTAACTACTTGATAAGTTATCAGCTGTATCATTTGCTATTCAGATACCGTAAAATAAAAAATACTGAATGGGTCTTACTCATGCACTGAATCACACTTAATACGTGCTGATTGAAGACACTATTGGACAAACTTAAACATTTTTGAATATATCTCAAAAATGTAGACTGACGGCTCCAGACATTTAAATGGCATAAATCTTATTATCTTAAATCTGTGCATCTCTAACTGATCTCTCTTCGGATAATTAGTTCTCTGAGCAGTTTGTTTGTATTCAAAATTGCTTTTTATCCAAACATTTGTTTACTTTCATAAATTGTAATGATGTAGAAAAGAGTGAACTCTTTTTCACATTTACAATGATTCGATTGAATTTCACCTAGTAGGCACACAGGCAAAAGTGAGTTAACCAATCGTAAACGAAGAAGAAAGTGCTAGAGTCGTTCTAAGATGAGATGCAGAAGACTAATGACTAAATTATGTAGGACATGGATAACCATAATAGGATCGATCTCTTGGTATATTGATTGAAATATTGATACACTGATTACTAGAAGAGTTTAAATTTAGAAGAATAAATGTCATTGAAGAGCAGTCTGTCAACTAAATTTTTTAAACTATATGACATTGACATTAGATATGGATTGTATTTGTGTAAGTCACAGTGGGTTTAAAATCAAGTAACTCCAACTTTTAGCACGGAAGTCTGGTCCGAACTTCTTCAGGGAAACAGTAAAAATTAAAGTATCAAGGATATATAAGTGAATTCAAAAAGGGTATATTTAATCTCCTTGTCCAGTCCTCTTCGTATAGTCATTGTCTTTCTAAATTATGGTAACTAGTCATTCAATGTAAAATTGTTTGTCATTTGTTGTACAATTGAAAAGGACAAAGAAGAGTTTTCCGAACACAGGATGCAAATAATTATCCCAAAGGTTTCATTAGGCGTATTTTAAAAAATAAAATTAAGGATGTGCCGAAACTTCCTCCAAAGAATTGGACAAGCATGGTCATAATCACATACCGAAAGGAGACTTCAGAAGAAATAAGAAGGATTCTCAACAAATATGACATAAGAGTTTACTTTTGTGCAACAAATACCCTACGTTCTAACCTAATGAAAGTTAACGATGTAGCATCTAAAGAAAATCAGCAGAACTGCGTCTATAAAATCAGATGCGGAGATTGTACTGCAGATATGTAGGGGAAACAGCCAGACAGATAAATGTGAGAATCAATGAGTATAAACTATGCTTAAAGCATATTTCAAAAATCTCAGCGGAGGTTAGGAAACTAGAAAACAAATCTGCAATCTCGCTACACTCCATAGAAATCGGACACAAAATTGACTTAGACGGAACTAAGGTTCTACAGAAAGGTTTTGGGTCATACCAAGAAAGATTGACAGCCGAAGCCCTACATATATGGGGGAATCTATACAGTTCGAACTGCCTCTTGGCAGTTAAGTGAGTGACTCGAAGCATTTACCGTCAACACTAGTCTCAACTTCATTATTTCTGCATCAGTAACAATCTGGATTGATTTAATTCACTATTACCATCATCATTTTCCACATCACCATCATTATCATTACTCAACTCCATTCATTTTCCGGTAAATCAACGAAAAAACTCGTTATTACTATTCACCACCAAATGAAATTGCATATCCTCCTCATCCATTCAGTTGAACTAACAAAATTACCGAATGACTATAATGTCACCTGTGACCCTTTTGTCTGATATTTACAATCAAGATGAATATGAATTGGAGTACATATATACATACACGTAACCACACGCTATATAACAAAAGATATACACTTTCAAATTGAATGATTAGTTATCATAATTTAGAAAGACAATGACTATACGAAGAGGACTGGACAAGGAGATTAAATATACCCTTTTTGAATTCACTTATATATCCTTGATACTTTAATTTTTACTGTTTCCCTGAAGAAGTTCGGACCAGACTTCCGTGCTAAAAGTTGGAGTTACTTGATTTTAAACCCACTGTGACTTACACAAATACAATCCATATCTAATGTCTACCTTTTACTCAGCGCCCAGTATTTGCCATACTATACGATCAAATCTTGATCATAGTTTATGTAAATAACATATGACATTGGTTACCACAGAAGATGAGGACTTGCAGCTGTCCCTGTCTACGTAGATTCGAATAGAACTCAATGCTTTAAATGAAGTTAACCGCAGAAAGCATAGTTAGACAAGGATAAGGATGAGAAATCACACACACTAAAGGGCAAAGGATCATGTAACCATCATTTGCGATATCGCGTGGGCTGGAGAATTAGAAAGAAGTCAAAATAAGCAAGAAGAATATGCGAAGAGAAAGGAAACAGGTAGAATAGGGTGAATAAGTTATTCAGTCTCTTGAAGAAAGAGGGGTGATCAACACTAAATGAGTTCGCGCCATTTTAGACGATGCTTTGATAAAATGAGCTCCGAGGATGGTACTTGAGAAAAGTCTTGTATGCATCCAAGTTATTGATATCATACATTTCATGTATAATGTCTGTCAGTCAAATTATATAGACTATTTGATCACGTATTCCTTAGTTTTTTGGTTAAACGCTTCAAAATGTCAGAAAGCCTGTAGATGCTTTTTTTCAAGGTCAACCATACAAGGAAAATGGCACCGTGAAACTGTGAGACATAGCTTGATGTTGAACTCGATAAAAGGCACAAACCTTGAAACATGAGTCAGTCACATGTTTTCTATACCATAAAAGGCCTAATCAAATAAAGATCCATATTTTTGGTACATGAAAATGGACGATATATTGAGAATAAACAAACAGTATATCTCTTTTTTGAGAGGTCAACAAAATATAAATTGCTAAAGCAAAATACTTGTCACCGCGCTGTAAAAGACAAATAGTATAAGATGATCAGGAGATGGAGAAGTAAAACATCCACAACAAATGAAGTTAGTGAAGGGAAGAGGAAATACAATTAAAGCTTTTAAGAAATGGACTAATGCATTGAAATGGAAATAAAAACGTGGTGAAATGGCTAGTTTTAATTAGTCGTGAATCTGGCTACAAAATCAGATAAAATTCACTACTGCTACTCACTAATTTGTAAGTAGTATACACTAATTAATAAAACAATAGAGAAGGCATTTACTAATATCAAATACATAAGCTGATAGGATAAAAGTGAATAACAAATTTAACAATTTGTCCTTCTAGCGCTTGAATTTACCTCATTTTACAGATTAATATAGGTCTCATTTACATAGATTGCATATTAGTTCACTGATTTAAAATTCCCAGTTACGAATCAGTCACATTGTACATTGATAAAGATGTATTCATTCACCCTGTTACTCATTTAATCAGTTGATCTATGCCTTCAGACTTCAAGTACTTTGTCATATTACCTAATGAGTTAATTCCATCCCAGAATGCTTCAACTTGAACAAAATCAATTTTTGTTCAAGTTTCTACAGTGATTAGTCTGTCAATCACAAACAGTGTATCTGAGAGATATTCCGAACTCATTCATTATATCCTACTAAATTTGTTTTACTTACTTTTACTATGAGTATTCTTCAGACTTCTGTGAGTTCCCAATGTCTTATGCCTTTTATTCTTTCTTCTTTTTGCTGCAGATTGTCACACAAATAAGTGTATCACTTCTTAGACACTCAGATATACTTCCAGCTGATAAGGTGTTTTATGAAGCTGGTGTTGATTGTCGTGAAATAGGCTGGGACAATATGGCCTTTGTATTTCTAAATCGTTATCTGGATCTTGTCGAGGCAATAGAAGATCCAGAGAGTTCTTCTGATACTCTAGATAGCACAGATTTTCAGGTAAGTGCACTTTGCATCCAGAGATATTTGGGTTGAGTTAAAATTTTCATTTCACCTTCAATCATCACCCAGTATAAACAGAGACTAGTTGTCAAAGAGGTTTGAACCTAAATTTCCTTTTTGTTTTCCCCAATCAGTTAGCTGTATTTGCAGTCTTGTAAAAGCACTTCCAAAACTCCATCACTCGGTATCGATGACAGAGAGTTTAATTCTAAGTTACCGAGAAAGTTATCTGTTGTATGACCGATTCACATGTAAGCATCCCTTACATGTGAATGAAACTGTATGAAACGGAACACAATGCACTGCAGTAAAACATCACTATTGTCAACACTGAGATCATGATTAATAAGTTATCATCAACACTTGATAGCTACACCACATGATATTCGATAAGCGATTCTGGTTTCAAACCCTCCGGCACTCGGTATATATAAAATTAATCAATTTCAACACTGAAATATTGTTCGACCATTCTGCCAACATTTGCACTTTATATTATGTTAGTTTTAGGCCTGTGGAACTTTTGATTCCCGACAGCATTAAAACGAACTTTGCTAACAGCTTGATGAGCACGTATACTACTGATAAAAAGCATGAGTAGTCAGAGACTAACAGCATTGACCTTCAGGTTTCGTTAACCTGAGACTAATATCTGACCCTTTCTTTATTTGTTTGAAGAGCCTAAATAAATCTACTTGGCAAAGGAAAGTCATCATTACCGAATAGCTAGTGAAATATCACTGATTATTAGCCGTAAACTTGTATTCAGATACTTAAGGATAAATTGTAAACTTTGATTAGCATTCACAAAGAATTTACGAGACAGCTCGAACACATTAATGCTATAAAATGAAAATTAGCTTCCTTGTTAATCTAATGGAATCAGTCTTACGCTTAGTTTTGTTCTTCCTGTCAATTATGACTTCTAGTCATGAAATGCTGGGGTTATCTTTGAAATTAATTACTTTACATTTTCAAGAAAGTACTTAAAACCCAAAAATGTATTCCACTTCAATGGCTAGGCTATACTCTGTCTATTCACTTGTGGTTTTCATCTCATGATAAATCTGTTTTATCGCCAAGCGTAATGACTGTAACAAGGGAACAGCTTCATAATGTTGTTCAATTGTTTATTCCAGAGGAAAGTGTTTCATGTATTAGTTAAATATCAAACTTCACATCTGCTTTGTGAATAAACGTCTTATTTAGAACATCATCAAGAAACTGGGTAGGATGAATAATGAATTGATGGAAGTCAAGTGGGCATAGTGAGTGGCCTAGATTAGATTGTTTGGTAAGAATGAAAAATCACTTCAAAATGAATCTAGAGGCAGCGAGGAAGAACCTAATAACATAGTTCAGTGAATTTAGTTCATCCAAATAGTGAAAAAAAGTCAAAAAACATCGATAAATAGCAGCTTACATACAATGTACTCAAGATGGCTTTAATAGCTAAATAATCCACCGCATTTATTTATCCGTGCTTTAGTCGCTCATTATTCTATTTATTGTTCCACAGAGTTATGCTTTTGTTAACAGGTGATAGATATCCCTGACTAATGCTTGTGCATACATTGCACTCATATTGATGAAAACATAGTAAAGCTGAAATAGAATTCATGGGAATACAAACGAAGTACTGAGTGAATTCGTATCCAGCTAAGTAATCCTCTTTCATTTTAATTGTGCTAATTATCACTGCATTTTTTGAACTTAACTAAGTTTATTACGCAACAGAAATGTCTTAAACCGTAAGTTACAAAATGGCGTTCCTTTGTCAAGTTAAAAACGTGGAGATGTTCACATATGATTATTCAAAACTATCGAGGCTAATTTACTAGTGAATAGATTTGAAAACTGAAGGCTTCTGAAAATAAAGGCTGAATGTAAGAAACAATACTACGTGTCATTCCTGGTGTTTTGAAATATTTAAGTATGAGCACTGAACTGAGCGACTGCCTTATACAACGTATTCTTCTCAAGCTTGAGATACACAACATGATACCAATCCAAAGATACATAAGTTTCAATATCGAAAGAATGTACACATTGAACTTGATCTAAATAATCGTTATCTTATTTTGCGAAGAGTGTCTGAGGCTCAGAGTGTTGATGTTCAGAATGACTTGTTATCTGAGCTGGGGTTTCAGTTGATAAACATTTCAATGTTTTGCTGGACATATTCAATGGTGCATCTGAGCTTTATAAGGCAATGAAGTAAGTGGTTGAGCATGGACATTTAAAACTTGTTATCTTCCCTAAATCTAACCTGATTAGTCGACTGATGAGTTTATGGGTATATTTTGAAGCTAACTGGTTGACTTATTGCCTTTAAATTTTCTTGATGATGTAAAACTACGTTATTGACTGACTTCCTTTGTTTGTATGCTGTGAACACTTCATTGTATTATTATGATATTCTTTAATTCAAGAGTTAATTTTCGATTGATTGCAATTCATGAAATTAGGTGCCTATGGTACAATGTGAAATTAAACCATGAAGTTTCTGATTGTTGATCTGAGTAGTGCAGGAATTTTAGGCTTCCAGGTTGTTTAGAGACTCTATTTCACATGGCTTAAAATCCACCTCAGCTGAACAGATTCATTCTACTTTCTTTTGTATCAAGGCTTTCTTCATTTTCTGAGGATCCCAAAGATAGAATCAATCAAAGATTTCACTGTTTCTTTCCATGGCTCTACCTACATCAGTCATCATTGCATATAACATTAACACTCATTAACACATTGACATTCAACAGTTTTCCCTAACGTGAAATTAGATAGAGTGAAGTATGCCGTCTAAGGTGTTAGGATCACGACTAAGCTGAATCACTGGAGTCAAGTGATTAGGAAGTGAAATATATCACTTTTTTTCTGGCATGACCCCATAGATTATTGTCCTTATTTCCTAAAAAAGAAAACCCGCTGTAATTCTCCCCATGATGATGAAATGTGATTCAGGCTCTTGTCTGAACAATATCAAATTAGAATACTTCAAAAGAAGTTCTTCATTCATCATGCGATTGAAAACAGAATATGATTTTATCTACTGAAGATTATGCTGTCGAGAATTTAAACCAAGTCAAAGGGGTGGTCACGATAAGTAAAACACTTGCCTGTCATTGTAAATAAAGCGTTTAATACCCTCAGAATACAGATTGACAACATCAAATTACAAATCAACCTAATTCTCTATTTTTTACGTATTTTTCACTGTAGAAATGATGTGAATCACTGAATATTTCATTTTTATCCTGATACAATATATGTAAGATAATTGAAGGTATGTTTCAGGAAGTTCTAGAACCCGATTTTATTCTTGTTACTACTTGTCAGCGATATACTTTTACCTGCATCTTCAATGGATTTGACATTACCTGAGATATTCAAATACAATAACTACTCATATTACTTCTATCTAAGTAGGACAGGTATAGGTTAAATTTATATAGTAAGCTAATGCTGGCACCTAAGAACACTAATCGATTAAATGATTCGTCCTATAAGTGCACAGAATGTTGTTACAATCTGTTACACTTCTTTGTTGAGTACCAAAAAAGAATAAGCTAGTGGAATAATAATAATAATAATAAGCGGGATCCAAGAGGAATAAAGCGTTGGGTTAGAAAAGTAAACTATTCAAAACCGGATATTTGTTATCCCAACAGTTTGGCTAGTTCAGAAGCCTAATTCTGCCAGCATGCGTAAGACCAACGTATAATAACTATGACACCTGATGCTATAGCACACTTCTTGGCTCTTACCAAATTATTCTACCTAGTAACACCTTGGAGACCGTCAATGATCATTTAATATCATACATTTAATTCTCTTGACAAATCTAAATAATGTAAGAACAAAGACATTTCAAGAGTAAAATGAGCTCATTTTATTTCACAGCCTTTCATTAGCTGCATCAGCTTTAAATGAATATGGAAATAAATGAAGATTCGAAATCTAGAATTGAAAATAAGGTAATGAGTCGAGGAAATATAGGATTATTTATTGTTATTATTATTGTCAATCCTGGATTTCGAGTCTTCATTATTTCAGTATATTTAAAGCTGCTTACAGCTGATGAAAGATTACGTAATAGAATGAGCTTATTTTATCCTAAAAATATCTTTGTTCTTGCATCATTCAAATAATCATTTAGATTGGAAGTGTATAATTTCTTCTAGCCTCGAAGTAACTAGTTATCACATTTTTAGGAGTACTTAAGATGAACAGTGGTGAGTTAGCAGGCTGATTGTGGGAAGTCAAAAGGAAAAACATACGTAATTCATATGGATGAGAGAACAGAGCTAAGCTTATTCCTTAATTTGGCATAACTTGCCTACTTCTGCAGCTAAACATGAAGTCTAGAGAGTAGTTTCAGAAGGCCACTCATTTCTTAGCACTATCCATAAAGCGGAATTTAAATTAACTCTGGAAGGATTATAGTTAAGTGAAGGAGATATGACAAATGGTAAAAAAAGGAGATTTATAAAATGACCCGATAGTATACTTCTTCATATGACATTTTGCGAGTAATGAAGGCAGACATAAAGCAAAAATCACCACGGTGAATTGTTATTTAAAGCTGCCCGATATTACCGATAATTACAATTATCAAAGTCACCATTACGTAGGATCAGAAACTGTCAATTACTAGAGCCTTGAGGACTAAATAATCTGACACTCTAGAAAGCATAGACAATAATTACTTCTCCTGGAGGTACATTGGAGAAATGTTGAGTCATGCATTTTAATGATAACTTATCTAGAACTTATTATTCATCTCACTCAAACAGATGAATAATAATAACCTGTCCCGAGAATAGCAGACTAATTCTAAGACTATTTATTTCAATATCTCATTAAGTTCCTACTTCTTTATTCCATCCACTTACCACGTTAAGGGTACTGACATACCTATGGAAGTTCCTATCCCCGAACAAGCCTATACAACCAATGAAGAACATGAAGCAATACGTGAGTGGATATTGGCTGTTTCAATGGATCAAAAACTTGACCAGTCGCTGCCAAAAGATGAAAGAGGTGTTTATGTGGCCGCGCTGAACTCATCTAGTACTGGTTTATCCGCTCTACCATGTGTCATTACTGGCTATCCTGTCCTACGTAATGGTGTCACCTTTGAACCGTCTAAAAGAACTGCAATTAAAGTGAATTGGAGTAAGTTTTTGTATATAGCAAAAGTTAGTCGCGCAATGGAATGCGTAGATGTAAAAGAGTTTATTGGACGATGGTGTGGTGCTGCACCAAGTGGAATCTAGAAAACACTATTTTCTTGCCTTAAACTGCTTGTTTTGTTCCTTTCAAACTGGCAGCATCATACTATTAATAAAACATCTATTACTGTAAATTAGATTACTGTCTATGCACAACTTTATTCCTTTTGTAGGTTATTTTTGAAAAAATGTGTATTCTTATCTAAATTCCTGTGTTCTTGAACATGTATCTGATGAATTTCATCCTATGATTAAATTATAATGTCCCTCACTTGAGCGGTTTGCTTGCAGTAAGTGAAAAAATGATAATAAAAAAGCTATAATCAGATTGAATTATCCTGTAAACATTGGATTTCTGTTGGAGAACGTCTCGGTATCAAGCTAGACAGCCTTTCCGTCAGCCAGACTTCATAGACAACTAAGTTGACGAAATGAGGTAGCAGTAATTATAAATTATAAATTTATTCGGATTATATTTGAGTGGTCAAACTGTAGGGTAAGCAGTGAATATGATTCAAAATTCTTGCTGTTCAGTAGAAGCTTATGAATCTAATAGGTTTCGTTTGCCTTAATTTAGGGAATGGCATTACTGTAGCCGCTATTTTTACTGCAGTCAATAGAAACAGATGCTTCTATCATGTGTTTTACACCTGGTTGAACTAGAGATCAATCGGATTTAACGGTTCAAATTAATCAAGTCCGAAAAAGTATGTATGGTGTTTCGTCTTTAATCATGCTGGTTAGATGTTTTGCTTAAAAGGACACCAGTGATAAGAGTATCTACTCATTAGCATACATTTTCTGATTGAGTAAGTTGGATATTTAAGATATTTCAAATACAACTATTGATCCTAACGACTTGATAATTGACATCTAGTAATGCTGAATCGCTACTCTTACGACACCAAATCATTTTATCATTATTATTTGTCCCTTGGGTTCCTAGTGGAACATAGGACTTCAGTAGAACGTCTCCATTCTACTCTGTTCTCTGCAAACTTTTGAACCAGGCACCACGACAGCCCACAAGCTCTCATTTCTTCCTAACACGATCTCCTCCATGTCACTCTTGGACGCCCAACTCGTCGTTTCTCATCTGGGTTCCACTCGAGTGCCTGGCCTGGAGCGTGATGTCCCTGAATGGTCTTCTCAGTGCATGCCCAATCCATCTCAACTTCCCTCTGTATATTTGTTGAGCGATAAGTTCTTGGTTGGTTCGTTCACAGCCAGAGAGCCAGCCAGCCACAGTTCCCTGTTGCTTATTCTTACTATTCTGGCCATCTGAGCTTCAGTAGCGAGACAGCGTAGGCAGTTGTTGATGAATGCCCTTCGTAACACGCCAAGTCTCTGAACCATTACAAAGAAGCACTGACTTGACGTTGATGTTGAAAATCCGGATCTTGTTCACGCTTTATGCTAAGTGCAGAAGATCTCCACAATGGTTTCAGGTTAATGAACGCCTGTCTTGCTTTCCCGGTCCTGGCTTTGACATCCTCGTCTGTGTCTGTGCTACCTGTAGTTGAAACAGTGCTGCCTAGATAGGTGAAACAGGCTACGTCCTTTAGATTTCTCTCGTTGATGGTGATTGGCGCTTGTTGTTGATGCTGTTGGTGGTGGTGTTGGTTGGGTATCTTCATCACCTCTGTCTTGTCTACATTCACTTGAAGTCCCGTCTTTGCCGCCTCTCCTCTTCTGACAACTTGTTGGATTTTGCCTGTAGATCTTCAAGCTTGTGCGACAGAACATTAGACACAAGTCATCGGCGAAATCCAAATCTTCTTCTAGGGTCTTTTCATCAGTCCAGCCAGCCTTTCCCCCTCTTCTCGCTCCTCGCTGTTTGTTGCATGATTCAGTCCATCACAATAAGGAAAATCATGGGTGATAGATGGCGGCAGCCTTATCTTACTCCTTTCTTCACTTCAAAGGCATCACTGAGCTTTCTATTTTGAATCACTTGACATGTGGCGTCTTCATGTCGTTGTTGAATTAGGTTGATAAAGGTTTGTGGCACTAAAACCGTAGTGTTGAAGCAGTTTCCAAATTACTTCTCGATCGATGCTGTCGAAGGCCTTTTCAGAGTCGATGAAGTTGAGGTAGAGTTGAGTTGACTGCCATTCTATACTACTCAGTTCAATGATGGTGCGTAGCGTAGCTTTATAATTTGATCCGCACATGATTTGTTCTTCCTGAATCCAGCCAGCCAGCCAGCTTGTTTCGGTTGAAATCTTGAATCCAGAGCATCCTTTAGTCTCACCAGGATGATGATGAGGATAATATTTTGCTTGAGGTGAACAGCAGCATGATTCCGTGCCAGTTGTTGTAAGGACTAAGGTCTCCCTTGTTTGGGAGTTTGACCAGATAGCCTTTCTTCAAGTCGAAAGGTACTTTTACTTCCTTCCAAACCTTCTGCAGTAGTGGTGTGAGCATGTCCGCTGTTGTCGCTGCGTTTATTCCTAGTGCTTCTGGTGGGATTCCATCTGGTCCTGCTGCTTTCCCGCATTTCAGTAGCCTTATGGCGTTCAGGACTTCGAATTTCGTCGGAGGGGATGTGTTCACTGGTAGTTCTGTGGCTGGGCTGTCGATGGTATTTCTGGACCGGTTGCAGGTGGTGGTCAATTCAAGAGCTTTCGAAGTGGTCAGTCTATCGCTTCCTTTGTTTCTCTTCTTTGGGAATTAAATTCCCATCACTATCTTTCATTGGTTTAATCTGCGTTGATCTCTTCCCATCCCAGACAGTAATCTGGTTATTTGATACAATGTTGTCAGGTCTGTGTCTCTCCTACCAGCAGCCTGTTCTGCTTCACTCGCCAGTGTGTCGTAAAAGTGTCTTTTGTCTCTGCTCGCACTCTTCTTCACTTCTTTTTTCAGCGTAGTGTTTTATACGTTGTACTCAGTTCCTTTTCTTGTCATTCATCCTTGCATCCATTTATCTTCTGCTTCACAATCCTCCTCTCCCTCCTCTATCCGCGCCTGCGTCTCCATCCAGATCCATTCCTTGTCTTGCCTCTACTTCTTGCTTCCTAATACGGTTATGCTGGTTTCTTTCCACATAGCTTTCAAAGAGTTCCAGCGTTCATCCACACAGATTTCTTCAGGGATGTTGCTCGTATCTCCCTCTTTGTCCTGATGGCTGCCGTGAAGATGTTGTTTGTAGTTTCGTCCTTCAGCCCAGTCTCTGTTCTGGGTATTGAACTTGAACTGTGGTTTATCAGTAACTTCCTTGAAGGCTTTCAAATTGATTTGGAAGGTTCATTGCACTACATTGTGGTCCGAGCCTACATCTGCTCCTCTTCTTGACCTTGTGTCAAGTAGGCTGACTGCGTCTCCACTTTCTTCACATAGAGATGAAGTCGGTCTGATTTTCAGTGTAGTATGTCCATCTGCTGAAATCCATGTCGCTTTGTGGATATGCTTGTGCCTGAACACACTGCCTCACCTCCAATCACCAAATTGTTGAATGCACAGAATTCTGCAAACACTTCTTCATTCTCGTTCATCACCTCACCGAGTGCTTCTTTTCCTATGTTGTCCGCTTCCCGTTTGGAATTCATTTTACCCATTAGAATTTTGAAGTCGCCAGCTGTAGTCTTGTCCGGTGCTGATCGGATTTGTCTATAGAATTCTTCCTTCTCTTGATCTGCATTATTTGTAGGTACGTAGCGTAGCATTGTAATGATTGTGACTTTCCTTCGTTTTGAGTTGAATCTTGCTGTCATGATCCTGCAGGAGGAGATTGGTTCCCACTGTATGAGAGCCTCTGATGCTGTTGGGTATACCATGATAGCCACTCGAAAACTCAGTGTGCTCGTGGTTGTCGTCTGGGTGACAATATCGGATTAGATTATTGACTCTCCAGCTGAGAGTTTGGAGAGTTGACTTCCATTCCATCTGCTTTCGCATATTCTCAGCCTAGCACTTCTATGCCATACTTTCTCATCTCTTTCGCAATCTGTGCAGCCTTGGTAGGTTCAAACATGGTGCGAACATACCATGTCGCCATGTTTACTTTCTGTTTCATCGAGAGAAGCGAAGACATATCGGCGCATCGGCTTCCCGAAGGTTTTCACCAGCTGGTGTCCTTTCGCCTCTCCGATTTCAGTGAGGAATAATTTTGTTTTAATCTATTATGTTTTTTGTTGTGTGTTTTAAAGTTTCTTTAGTGATTGGATTGGTTTTCCGGTGTAGGGTTGGTAGCTGTATGCCCAACCTTCCCTCTTTACCTGGGCTTAGAACCGACTAGTAACTAGTGAACTAGTTAACCAGGAGAGGTTACAACAAATCATGCTGCTGAATTAGTTTGTAGTTCGTTTGATGGTTACTTGTTGGATGTCAGAATTTTAATAAGTTATTCTGCCTTAATAGTAATGATGTATAGTGACCAGTATTGGGATACGCGACTTGTCACATGGATGTATCTGTCTGTCAGTGAATAATTTCCCCCCCACAAGCTAAAGCATGAAACTACGCACGACACAATGAGTGACTATCATGTTTCATTAGCCTGACAGATGACACTTCGGCGTTGAATGTGATGGGTGCTGGACATGAGTCTCAGTGAGAACAACACTCATTGGGAGACAGAAGCATTCAGCTGAGTCCCAAACGGAACTGTTAGTAATTTCCCATTATTATTATCAAAACTAGAACTATAACCAATATTAGGCCATCCACACAACAGCCCATATACCAATAGTGAACGATGAATTCGGTCCGATCAATGACGGAAAATTGCAAGCTATAACCTTGAAAACTGTCAAACAGAATGTTGGAAAGATTGTTGTCCCACCTTGACATCAGATTTGAGTGAGTCACACGGGAAAAGAAACTTTGTTAGAGTGAAATTGTTCTTGCCAGTTGTTTTGTTTACCTGATTTTCATTTGGTTGAAGGGTGATTGTCTTCTTACTGGGTTGACTAGGTGTACACCCATACACTTACTTTTATTTTGAATGCTAGGGCTCAAAAAATTCCTCTAAAGTTTTGAAACTTGCTCTTTGTAAGATTTCCACATTCTCTCCGTCAAATGCTGTGCTGTCTATGTGCATTGAAACCAAGGATGATGCTTCATTTTACTTTACAGAGTGAAGTGATGAGATGTAAGGTCATGTGATAAAATTCCTTCCAAAGCTTACAACTATAATACATAAAAGGTCACGGAAAACACTGTCTAGATATTTGTGTAACTTCTGAATATGCTTCATTTCTTAGCTAAGTTATTGCTGATGATGAAACATCAGCAACGAATAAAACAGTTAAGAATATATCAAACCGTTGAGATCTATTTTTATTTGCGTATGCAATATTTTACTCATCCTTTACACCTTAGCTGTAGTAGAGAAATATTCATGAATTAGTATATATCCAAGAAAGAAGTTAGTTAAAGTAAATGATCACCCAACCATTTTCAGTTATGCGAAACAATCTGTCCCATTTATCAACCTAGTTGGATGTGAGAATGGATGCATAAGAATGACATTGATTTATGACCACAATATATCTTGAGTTAAATTTCAACAGATCGACTGAGTAACAACTTATTTTCCGTAAAACCATGATGAAAACCATATTGAAACTATTCAATTTGAATGAATCGCCAAGTGGATTAAAGTTGTATACAGGCTTGATAATCCTCCTACATCGATGGATGACAGAAATTGTTCATTTATCCATCAAATTTTTCAATGGACAGTCATTCCATCTCAGGCTTGCCCTGGTATGAAACAAGGATACAGACAGGAAGTTAACCAATTTCGCTTCCCAACAACTTTTTTCCTGAAGATACCATGTAGTTTGAAGGTGATTTATCATACACTGAAGAGGTTGGCTGAGACAGGATCAAAATGCATACGATTACTTTATCTTAGATAGAATTGGAGGGGATATTTTGTGAAAAGGTCTTACTGTAAGTGGGTGCTAGTTTTTCTATTGGATTTGAACGTTTAAGCCGATGGCTTGTGTACTTAAGTCCCATATGTAGCACTAGGGTTAACCAGAACTGTAAATAAAGATCTAACTGATTATCTGACGCGTAACAAAACTGAGTTTGCTAGTAATCACTGAGATATTTTGCTGATTTAGCCTGTAAACTGTGATAAAGTAAGACTATGACGTCTTAATACCTGAGACTATGAACCCGTTGATTGGATAATGTGTTGGTGTAGAAATTATTCTCAAAACTTCATCAATAAGAATTAACCCTCCACCTTACTGACTACCACAAGTTGCAGACTAATTACCCCCAGACAGTAGTGCACTTTAGCCAGATAGAGGTGATCAGTGGCGTTTACACTACCTCGATTTAACCTAAGTGGTGAGCACTACTGACTAGCGTGAGATACCTATAACTGTCCATATCAGTCAGTAGTATGTGGCATACAGATTTTATGGCAGTTATGCTGACCCCATTCATGGTATCATGCAGAACACATATCGAAGAATGAGCACATGGGTTTTCAAGAAAAAACGCAGTAAAAATTTCAGAAATTGGTGTCACTTCATCGCATAATTTCTAAGTTTGAGTGTGTGTTTTGTAAAGATTGTAAGTGGAAATCTTTCTCCTTACTCACAGCTCACATCATCCACCAGTTTAAGTGGTAGGATACGATCCACAAGGTTACTATGTAACGATATGCACTTTTAGCCGTTAGCGCAACTATCGGTTTTAATGGATTCGCGATGTGAGAAAATGCATTCAATTCGTGTATACGATAGGCCCAGTATCCATTGCTAGTAATTCTGTTAACAACAACACGTATTGAAAAGGCCAAGACACGAATGTTTGCGAACAATGTATTTTAAGCTCACTTTGACAACAAACCGAAAACCAAAAGGAGCGTGAGGTGTAACAGGCTTTAAGAAAGTGTGTGGAATGTCCCCAGCCATTCCTGATGCAGGTAAACATCTCAAAAATGTACAGTGCCTAACAATCGAATGACATGTCCGAGGAAAGAAATTGAGGTTACTACACACTTCTTGTTTAATGAATGCCAACTTCTATCCGAAGTGGAGGTTTGTGTTTGCAAAGTAACAGAACTAATGAAACCGACTTCAAATAGAGTATTGTAAATCACTATATATTGTAGCACACTGCTAATAACTATCTAAATGTATTTAGTAGACCAGTAGTGGATTTAAAATGAAGCCACATTTCTCATTCAGTACTTACTGTCAGGATTTGTTCCCATAAAAGTTAGTGCTAATATGTCTGCAACGTCATTCATAGGATTAGTTTTTAAACAACCAGATGGTAGGAAATTAATAGAAGACACAGAAAATTTCTTTATTACAAGTTGTCTCAATGGTAATTCAAACCAAAGATAGATTTTCCACAGTAACTGCAAGTTAAATCATGTCTTACTCTACCACCAAACCTGCTTACACCATATGAATGACACGCAGATAAGTTATCCTAGTCATTTCTCCCCTCTAGAACCGACTCCTTGACAGTACATCATCTCAAACTACGAAACTCCTGGCCGAATTGTCTGCCATTCCGTTTTTTGCATCACATTTCGAACCAGTGGAACACACAGTTTTCAGCACTTGGTTTTCACCCTTTCAAAGCAAAAGTGACCACCACCCCCCCCCCACTGCATTGCAGAGTCTATATCAAACTCTTGGCCTGATATACTTATTTTTGACAACTGACAATCAGACGGTCATCAAACACTGAATATAGCACAATATATATCATACTTTACTGGTTAAATCAAAAACGTGGTCAACAGAATATTATTAACAGTTGAAACTAAATAGCTGGACAGTGAATGCTATGGACTGACTACCCAGTGTTTGATGAGATTTTACTTAGAATAGAAGTCAATCAAGAAAAATTAACGCGAACATTGTAGAAAAAGGTTTATTGAACAACCACAGAAAAAGATTCACCATCCTTTCTTAAACTGCTTCATATTGAGTTAAAAACCCTATTTCACAATTAACGTCATCAAAATTACCAATAATATCACTCTAATTGCGTCGATATTGGAATGGTTGAATGCACCACTGTTCTTACTATTTGTTGACCATAAGCATATGAGCGCATTTTTTCAGCAAAATAAAAGAATATTAGAGCTATCGATAGATATTGAATCCATGCAAACTTGATAGTATACCAAAATCCAGGGTTAGTACTGTAGTGGGAGTGGACAAGGTGGATTTAGAAAGTGCGTTAAACAACAAACAATTGAAATGCATGCAGTAAAATACATATAAAGCAGGAAATCCAGACGTTCTCAGGTGCTCAAGAGAAAACCTGACCTTATATTTGGTTTTCCTTGGTCCTTATGAATAAAAAGGGTATTTGACATAAGGAGAGCTCATACGACCATTCCGATTCAAATCTGTGTTCTTTAGTGTGGTATCCAAATACATTTTGACTGTTTTACTCAACATACAGTTTTCGCTAGAGCAACTGAGTTCAAAAGATAGTGATCAAAACTCATGACCACCTATACGCTTTTTGAAGCTATACAGAGAATTCTTTCTGAGTGGAGCTGTACGAGACGAAACAGTTATGGATAATTTTTCGTTCATCGCTTACTACTCATTTAAAACACACGTTTGCTGAAATTAAGGGCTACTATGAAAATATCTAGGTACCCATATGGGGAAAGACAGACATCTTAGAAGACTCCTCCGCAAGACGTTGACTTAAGATATAATCCACAGAGGAGTAGAACGACATCAGGTGCTGCACTTCAGGGAAAACTAGTAACCATGAGTTGCAAATAGGTCGTTTCTTGCTCCCAGATCCTTTGACTTACGTGAACTGTTGATTCCAAATTAGAGTATTTCGACCTATGCAAATCAGTCCTTTATACACACTAATGCTGGGAAGAGTATTAAGCACACCATTTTTGCCTACTTCTATGGAAAAGTTTCGTCTGATATAAGCATACATAAACAGACAGAAGATGAACGCAGAACATCGTACGGAAGTGCATAGTTTTAAGTTATCATAATGTCACACAAACGGTAAGTGGTAGGTGGACACAGACAAAACGATAATTCAATGAACAAAAGGTATATCAGAGAAGAATGAATAAATAGATGAGGATTAACGAAAACTCTCAAAACTTTGGAGATGATAAAGAGTTATGCACCATTGCGACTGATTCTGAACCATAACCTCTGGAGTCTCTAGCTGTTTATTCCTATCATCTTGAAGACACCAACCGAGCAAACCACACATTCCTGCACAGCTCAAGCCACCAGTCAAAGATTATAGATCGGTGACGTGCCCTTTATAAAAGCACTTCAAGTGAAAGATTAGACTCAATCCGCCTTTAACAGTATCAGAGGACTTAGTGGTCTACTTATTGGCCACCAGTCAATAAATTTAATTTTTATTAGATCTTAAGAAAGGAAGTGAATTAAAGCGATTTGGACACTGAATAACTAAACTAGCCGTAGAAAGTGAAATATCGCTGAATTACTGAATCACTGAATGATCACTGCATATTTACAGATCGGAATAGTAGTAATCCAAAAGTATTTCGTTATTTTCAGAGTACATGTATGTTTCTTCTTATTTCAGATGCACGGACGAGTTTCTGTCCCTGTATAACTTGGTATTCCCAGTGAGAGTTAAACCAGCTCCCTAAAGCTTCAAACATTGGCTTTTCCAGTTAGCTACCTTTTTTTGAATATTAGTCATAAATAGTGTCACATTTCGTTCAAACTGACTTTTATAATCTTCCTTAACAGTATTGCTTAATCTCTGCACTTTGATTAGGGCTGCTTTTACAAGAGATCTATTGACTGGATGTTTACTGCATATGCAACGAAAACTTTGACAGAGATAGTCTTCTTTACTCGTACACTCTTATTCACGAGTATATATATATATATATATATATATATATATATATATATATATATATATATATATACCTCCAGAACACCGCACCCTAATTCATCAACCATTAGTTGAAAGTCGAGTTCCTAGACTAATGAGCTACAGCCCTACACATATGCGTGATTATAGATTTGCGTACAGGAACGCGAACTAGTAAACTATGCATATGTCGGTTCGTCTTATAATTACTTTTCAGTGTATCTTCATCTCAAAATGAGTCATTATCACGGAAATGAACGCCGTTTCACCATTTTCAGAAAAGTCACTGATCACGAGAAGTATTTTGCTAGGCGGCTTTCGTGGTAAGCAGGAATGCCACCTTAGATAAACTGGTAAGGAATCGTTGACTAACTAATGATCTACATTTTTACAATTTATCAACTATTTATTACTTGCCAATCGTTTTACTTCAAATATCTTTATTTAAACATTTGGATTAGTTCTATACCACTAGGAATATGAAGTTACTCATCAAAACAAATCTCATGTATTAGCCTTTATAAGTATTTGTAGCACGAAACAACCTTTATCTGTAATGCTACATGCATAGCATCAAATCAGTACTTTCCATGTCGTCATAGCCTTACTCAACGGTTTCGCAGGCCAATCATGTGCATGTACCAATGAGCAGACGGTGTACTTACCTAATTCTCAGGGAAGAAAAGTGGACAGAGAAATCAAGCTCGAACTCTCCAGAAAGACTATCAAGTGTTGTTGGGACATAAATCCTATCTTCAAGTAAGTAGAGTCCTAGTAATGAAATTTATGTATTCCACGAGTGGTTGCAACTCACCAACTTCCGAAAGATTGGAGTATGTGTCAAAGATTTGTTTTGGGAATGTCTTACCTTTGAAATTAGCCCTTGACTAAATAATCAGTTCACTTCATACAAATGACATACTTTTACGAAGGGTTCCATGTAATTTTCGGACCACACAAGATCTCCAGAGTACACAACTTTACTGACAGGTGACTGAAAAGACTTATTGATAACTATGGAGACATCAGTGTGGTTATTATAAAAGCGCTAAAAAAGACTATTTACACAATTTCCCAATATACCCATGAAGTTACGTCTACCAGTAGTATGACCGTAAGGCCAATTACCTTTTCTGAAGACAAAAGTGGAACTCTGATGTGAACATTTACACCACTGTTTTCACCTGAGTCAGGATCCTGCTGGGTGTAGAAACTTGTCTGAGGTGGTCTGTAATTGGACAGCAAGTCTGGAAATGTTTCTTCATACGCGATATTTGAGTAGAAGATAAAATCATCTTCCTTTTTTAAGTAAAGCAGCAGTTTTCCGCTGAAGGAGATGGTAGGTTTTTCCGGAAAAGCGTAAAAAGTTATATACAGATCTGTAAAAGTAAGGTTGAAAGAAAATGCGGTTTTATCTCACCATCAGTCACATAAGAAATTATCCATGGAACAATTGTAATTAAAAGGACTGTGGCTGTATCAAAGTAAAATGCTAATGATGATGCGTTAGCATAGTATCGTCTTAACTCGTACAATTTGTAAACTCGCATACTTAACTCGAAGAAAACAACTTAGAAACAACCTTGATGCATTGTACACTGGTAAACTTAAACAAAACAAATCCAGATCGAGGGTACACGATGCAAAGCCATGAACTTATGTATACATTTTCCCAACCGATCCCTGTGTTTGTCTTGTCCTCTTCTGAGTGGCTCATTTGGGGATGCAGATACCACTTCTTTTGTAAGTGGGTACAAGGATTTGATTGCTCAGTGCCCTAGCCAGTACCTTGTAATCCTTAAGTTCCTTCTTGATTTTGCACGCCCTTGATGTGTCTTCCGATGTACTTCCACCTACTGAAAAAGGTCAATAAAGATATACTAGGTAGAATGTCATTTCGTAAGATTCCCTTAGTCTGCCATACAAGTTGGAGCCATTGCTGATTTCATCCATGTGGCTATCCTTCAAAACATTTTCTAAATGTTTCAGTCACCTTTCTCACAAGCGTTTGAAGCTTGTACGCCGCTCTCCAGCCACGACCTGACTGTGACTGCGTGTAAGGTGATAAATATGTCAACTCTAATCCTATGTGTTCACCAGTGCTTGGGAAGCTCCAAGCAGCAGTCGGTTGATAGTGCACTGCAATTTTCAAACTTTGTCTTGCTGTATTCGTGGCTCCCTGTGAGGACAAAGGGGACCTACCGGTGTCCCACGTTTTGCCACACACACCCTAGGTATTCGGCTGCATATTTGCCTGCGCTGATAAGTACAAAGCATTTCTTCAACAAAGTCAACGAGCAGTTTGAGGTTTATCCGCGGTATTCGTACACCATCGTCATCCTTTGATTCTCATCCGATCACTACACCATTAACATAGAGAATCATGTCAGACAATGTAAAACCCTTCGGTTCGATAATATACAAAAAATGCAGCAGACTTGGAGATTTCCCTCCCAGTACTCCATCCTACGTCGAACTTTTGCGAACGCCGTGATGTGAACTGGGCAGTAGGTCGGGGCTTGTGGGTGGATGGTGACAAATTTCTCGGTGCGTTTTCTCGATAACTTAACTACAGAATAAGTCAGACATATCAATCTGCGACTTCAAAAGGGGTCCCGCTTAGTAGCCTTATAGAAGAAACATGGATTCGGGCTCCTTTCGTTCACATGAATAAATGCATTTGAAGCGAGAAAAATTAATCGTGTTAGTCAGTTGGCCGGATACGTAGGGGATAAGCCTTCTGAATAATCCTGGGTGTAAGCTACCTAGGAAGTCTTACCTCTTCAAACCTGAAGAATTTAGGGTTCTAAGCAAGTTATTAGAATCGACATTCATACCATCTTATCTGTTTGTATCAGTACTTATGCCGATAGACTCGGGTGTAGTGCTTGTCAGTGAACAAAAACCTCTTGAGAGTATCTTGCCAGGCTTCTTGCTGATTTAAGATGATCGTTGAGTAGTCTAGATGTCTCGATACCATCTTCTAAGGTAGGAATATCAAGGAGAGTTTCGCCGTTTTAGTCCTTACAAGAGAATGGCTCCTTGAGTCGTTCTACTGATTTTTAAATTGTTTGTTTTTTGAGGTATGTTCAAAACCTGCAGCTGGGAATTATACACTTGTTTCAAGCCACACTACAATTCTTCATCTCAGCGCTAGCAAGGTAAGTGGCGGGATTTGACCCTTTATTCCATCATGAAAAAACCTGTATCTCAGGGACATACCCGTCAAAGAAAGCATTTCTATACTTTAAGGATAGTCGATGGAATAAACGGTTGAGTTAGTGATGCATATAATTTTATGATCTATATTAACGGTTCAGCCTTCCAAAGAGAATGGAGAGTTTGTAACCACAATATTCTAGACTTCTGTACATAAGGTTTAGGTTAATTTTCGCCGTAATACAACGCAACTCCCTCACACCGGGTGGTAGCTACCGCGTACAGCCTGTTGCTCCAATAAAGTGGGATGAAGCACGCTGATGCTAATGCCAGAGAGGGTTGAAGGCCAGTTGTGTGTAGGCCCATGTAAACCAGCAACATGGCGAGCTAATCGCTGATTGTATTGCCTGACTAACTCAGTCGGTCAACTGTTCATTGAAGTCTGTTGAAAATGGAAATCGCAATCATCCATCAATGGTACTGGGATATGCAGGAAAGCTTCTTAGAACCTCGCGTTCATAACTGCGACATGCTACAACTGTGTTACTGTCTCCTCCATTACATTTCAACCAGCAGCAGGGGACTTAGCTTTTCCTATTTTTACTGGCTACTGTTTCCGTGGCTCGCTATCACGTACGCAAGCCATTGATCCGCTGCCACGAACAGAAAACCACTTTGTGGAACCAGACCGTCAACAATCCCTGAAGTCAGTTATATTCTTGAGACTCCTGCTCAGTCGAGACATTCATAGTTTCGTGATGTTTACCCACTACATCCGCTGACTCGAAAGGCATCATCTGCCTCCGGGGCCACTTCACAGAAAAACCCATCAATTTAAAGTCTTTCACATCTGCTACCGTTCGAGGTTAAAACAACATGAGTTGGCCAGAAGTGGAGAAGTTCATAGGTCCGTAATTACCTGAAACTCGTTTTTTTATGGGGGCGAGATCTCTACATTGCTAACTTCTTCGTAGACATGAGTGTTCGTACTCTCCCTTTTGACAGAAGCTACCCACTGTCCCTCGAACTGTATTTCAAACCAGTGTGGTCCACAACATGTTTTTTGCAAAACTTTGTTGAACAAACTTTATCTGCGGGTGATAATGTGTGCATTTGTACAAGAGTTTCACCTAGCCTTTCGGCTGCTATTAAAGACAACCGGGTTTAGGCCTGGGTTACCGGTAGGCTGCTCCAGATCGGAGTGGACGAACTAGGTCTCACTCCTTTGTGTAAAAAAATACACAGTAACAGTGAGGGTCTAAGGGTTAACCTTGACGAGGAATTCTGAAGTTTCGTTCATTGCCGCTGAGCGGCAAAGAAGGCCAATGAATTCTGGAGCCTTCCTCCTCTAACTTTGGGGGCAATAATCCTGGATCCATTCATGGCAGCGTATGAAATATGCATCCGCTCTCTTTGATCAATAAGGCAATCTTTCTTAAAGAAAGTCAACGACACCCAAGAATTGGTCCGAAGAGAGGCCATAAAAAGTCGTTTGACCATGACAAATGCCCTTTTTCTATCATTTTGATACTCATAAGCCCCAACTGGTGTGACGCAGGGGGATAAGAGGGGGCATTCTGGCGAAGTACTATTGTCCCCGCACTGCCTTACATCCTAACAAACTTCCCTAAGGTTCATTCAGGAGCCATGCGGGTTTACTTCCCATTTACGATAACAATGTGTGAATGCGAGATGAAAAAATTCCAAGGCCACGATGGACACTAATGGGAATACCGTTACTAGCCCCCAGCATCCAGGTAAATAGCCACACCCTCGGTAAAGCCGCCATAGCTTGGGCGGCAAAACTCACAGTAGATTCCACAAGCTAGACAAGGAATACAACATGCAACCGGTACTGAACGAAGGAAATCCGACAAACATTGCATATTAGTCATGGCGTGCTTCCTCCATTCCTACACTGTAGGCATTATATTCACCACTTCCTTGATTGCATGTAGAATGCACTTTCAGCGTTCGTCGAAGTTGATTCTCACTCTACCTGCCCACTAGCGCGCTCCGACTATATTCAGCTTCTCCACCAGCTTTATGTCTCCACGCATCTCCTAATGTTGTGGGTTCACATCAAGCTCAGACACAGCGTTTCACCTAAGCCTCACATTAGAGGTCATCATTTAAGAGTAAAGCGTATGAGGGCAAGAAAGGTGGTTCATGCTAAATCGTTCGCGGTCAAGATCTTCAAACATTGGAATTCTCTTTTTGGGCAGGTTGCAACGGCACCTTTTCCTGAGGCTTTCTACAGGAGGTTGAAGATACACTTAAATTCTTACGCAAAAGATGGACTGTTTTCAGGAAGCACTGAGTGGTCTTGCTGACGAGCAGCGGCATAAGCAAAAAATAATTATTCATCACCAATCGTCTACTACTATTTTTGCGCTTCCTCTGTGTAAGTTGTCGCTCACATTCTGACAGCCACTTGCCCAGCCACTTCCAGCTAGAAATGCCGCTGGTCTCCCTCGAAATGACTACAAGTTTTCTCAAATCAACATGTTTCTCTCTTGAACTCCAGTCCAGTTAAGTTTTACCACTGTCCTACCTTACTGGCACTCACAAGCTAGTTGGAACTAACTGCATGTCACATGTCAAGATCAGCATTCACTGAACCTATTTCGAACTACCCCCATCCCGTCTTATGGTTGATTTTACAGCCGGTTTCTTAGTTTGCCGTGGAATTTTTGCAACATCCTGCGTGTTTATCTTAGTTCATGTGTACTGTATTGTGGCAGAAATCTAGCTAGACCTCGCAGCACAAGCAAAACGGATACAGACAGAGGTTGAAAATGCTTTCAGTGGTTAGGAGAAAGTACTATTTAAAACGTCAAATAAAAATTTCCACGGCGACAGGTGAATAAGTATAAAGGAATAAACTAAGATGTTTCTCTTCCAGTTTATTCAAAAATAAGCCCAAATACAGCAACAACACAGCAAAATTTAATGGTCCCTATCAGAAAGATGCAAAGGCTTGGTGAACGTTCTAGAGGCAATCCATCTCAACTCCATCCGTTTATCGATCATATAATCAGGAAACAGTTTACCAGGCAAATCATCATTGCGGTGTAAGTCAGAAGCTTCACCCTTTATCGTTTGTTGAGTATGGTTTTTGTCAGCATCGAATGCATATCAGACAAAACTCTGTATTTAAACAGTACCAGGAGGACATCGTTTTTGGGGTTGGATTTTATTATTTTATTTTATGGGCGAGTTGCAAGCTATAAGACTAGGCACCACCCAACTTAATAGGTTACACTGGTTTATTTTAGTCAGCTTACCGCTACTTTACTTTCAACCGTGGTCATCAGTCAGCTGGTTATGTGGGTGAACACATTCCCTCTGCTTCCCATCTGAAGCAGCTTAATCACTTGAAAAACAGATTTGTTGGATAGGAAGCACTCTG